AAAATAAATTAAATAATTAAATAATAAATAATTAAATTAAATAAATTTAATTATTAAAAATGTTAAATATAATAAAAATGATTATCTATCATTAAAATAATTATGTTATAAAATATTTGAATTGTAACAATTTCCACTACTTTAAAAAATTGAGCTTCTGCAAAATTATATAATTAAATAATAAATAATTTAATATTAATTAAATAAATAAATAATTAATTAATTAATAATTAAATAAATAAATAAATAATAATTAACTCCTAAATCATAGTTACTCTCTTGATGAAAGTGACATGTGAAAATGATTAAAATATATAAAAGATATAATAATTAATGAGACTATCAAAGAATATAAGTCTCTGATAATTGTTAATATCATCCAAAAAGAAATAACAAAATTGCATGAGTTTTCAGATATTAAATATCTGAAAACTCAAGAAGTCACTAATATCAAACTAAAACTTGTAGAGCTGATGAATTTGCATCTTATTAGAAATGCTAATTTAAATATAGATATTCAAAACGTGAATAAGTTTCTCATTGAAAAAAATTATCAAGTTGAATGGTTTAATGTTCAAAAATTGTCTTATCAAGATCTCTATTTCACAAATTTAGAGCAATTAAAAAAACTTGTACAATATAGATGACTAATATTGATAAATTCAACACATAATACAAACAAATATTACTAGTGTTTATTTACTCTTTATGTTCATGATGGTTGTAGTAATTGAAATGTTGGTGTGCATTTTTTTGTCAATAATAAGAATAGTGTAATGATTTTAGTAGCACTAAAAATTATTAGAAAATTCACTCTTCATTAGAGATCACGTTATATATTACTTGACCAAAGTAGTATATAAGTGAATAATATTTTAATCATCTTTCCTGGTTTTTCTATAGAAGAACAGAAGTGCAAGATCATCCTTTATATAGTACACATTGTATAAACATAAATCAGAAACATCTATCATAGACCAATACTCAATATAATGATTCACATTATATATAAAAAAACACAAATTGGTTGTGAAGCACTTCTGCAAAATGCTATAACTAATTGTTTTTTGCAAGCAAATGTGAAATATATTTCACAAAATTACTTGAAGGATTCAAAAAAGTGAACACTCTGGATACAACAGCATTCACCTCTTCTCCTTTAAGTAACTTCTATAAATTCCCTCAAATCCTACCACAGTGAACTTAAATCAAGAATCTCTGTTTCGCATGATTTAATTGGTAGGTGAATTATTCATTTGTTTTATTAAATATTTTGATCATCCTTTTCATTTTTAATTTTTTTTCTTTAATCCTTTTCCTCAAAATCTTCTTGCTGATCTCTTACTTTATTTTATTCATAATACTTTACCTTCTCTATTAGACATGTGTCATATGATCTCAGAACTTGATAAAAAAAGAAAAATAATGGCAAAAAAAGTCACTATCAATTTTTGTACTAAAAAATATCTATTGTCAATGTAGATTCTGAAGTTCTCGTCAAAATTTACAAATTTTCCTTTCCCATCCAGAAACTCATCACAGAAGAGGCACATACTATCTCGAAAAGACTTCAAGAAGGAAAAGAAACACCAAGTTTCACAGTCACAAAATGTGATTATAAGTTTTTCAATTATTATATACTATCCTGTCATCATATTTTTCACAAGCAACTCTGTAGTGATGCAAATATCTTGACACCTGAAACATGGAGACATTTTCAAGAAACTTTTAAGAAGTGTGGTTTGGAAGTATACCACTCTCGTAGTTTAGTGAAAATATTCCCAACCTCAAGTAAAAACAGAAATGGTTGTGAAAAGAAATCGATTAATGTTAAATAAATTATTTGAAAGAACGAGAGATCGTTATTATTATTTGGTGGATCAAGGTAATATAGAGGAAGTGACAAGATTCATTGGGAATTTAGAAGAGGCTTTGATGCCTATTCTTGAGTAAGAAATATTGTTTTTATTTTTTTTAAGTTTTACATTAATATTCGAAAGCGAAAAACTCTATATATATTAAATCGATGTTATAAACACGCTTTACGTTCCCTCTCCCTCTTTCTCAATTAAATTTTATTTTTTATGCATTGTAAGCTTTTTTTATTTGACATATGAATAAAACAATATGGTATCCATTTTAACACAAACAAAAAAAATGCAGCTTTTTTGTTAACACTTGACATAAAAGAATGGCTTTTTTGTTGGAAAAACAATAAAATAATAAATAATACGGTATCCATTGTTCGCACTTAAAAAAAGAAAAAACGGCTTCAGCTTTTGGCTAGTCGGTGAGGAAAAATAAGAAAAGAAAAAAACGGCTTCAGCTTTTGGCTAGTCGGTGAGGAAAAATAAGAAAAGAAAAAAACAGCTTTTTGTTAGGCGGTTAAGGATAATGATCAATAATAACGGAGATTTTTGGACCTACCAATCAAATTGTAAGATCGTGAGAAATCATGTGTTACCGATCAGATGTGGCGTGCTGTGGCTAAGCCAGCTAAACGGCTTGCCTTGCTTTAAGGAACCCCTTGCTTTAGCGATCCCCCATTTTTGTAAATATTTGTTTATCGTGATATAAAAATTTGATCTTTATAAAGTTATAATTTCTCTAAAATTAAACTTTTTCTAGTTTTGAAATGTATCGGTATATTTCCGAAAATAAACACCCTTTTTTTGTTATAGAAATGCTTAATTTCGGATGCTTTTACCCTTTGTATTTTCGAGTGCTTATTTTTAGCATATATATAAAATATACGATATATAAAGCGATTAACTATATACAATAAATCCAATAAATTGTTTTAATACTGATTTTTATTTTTTCTTCAATTATTATATAACAATTAACATTAATGGTTTTCTTGTATAGTCAAATTCCTTTATAGTTATGTTCATTTATAGTTACATGTCTATATTAATTCAGCTGAAGTGACACAATTAATTTGTAAAGGCAAATATTGTTACAATCAAGATGATCACGAAATGAAAGTCCAAACGCACAGTAGTTTTTATTTAAACTTGGTTATCTGGTACATTTTTTAATGCAAATGAAAGAACGTGTCAGCAATACAAAATATATTTATATTTTCGGATTGTTATTTAAAATAAATAAAGTGATTAAATTAAATTAAATTAAATTAAATTAAATTTAATATAATTATTTGAAGTTATGTTTGCAGAATACTTTTTATTTCCTCGTCGGATGCTTGCTCATTGTTTTGGTACCAAGAAGCTAAATTTTACGGAAAAAATTCAATATTTCATAAAAAGAAATCCAAACCAAAATGATAATATAAATAATAAACTCACCAACAGTCCCAACAATCTGCGGCCCCTTCAACGACACAACATCATCTACTTCATGTTTAAACGTTTTTTGTGCATCCGATCCAATCACACCAGCAACCAAGATAATTTTACCGTCATACCCTAGCATCGATTTCAGGATAGTGATTGCCGCTCGGGCATTCTGTCCTGTTTGAATGCCGTCGGTGACTAGAATTATCGTTGCGCATTCACCGGTAGGAATCGGAGTTTGGTTTGGTGAGTATTTGTTGATTAGATTTTGTAGTTCGATTCGCTGTTATTTTTTATAAATTTTATTAGATGATGTTTGTTTAATATGGTAACAATTCAAAATCATATACCTCTTGCGCAACAAGATTGTCAATCGTTTCTTGTGAAATATCACTTCCCCTATAATATATATAGTAATATATAGTAAATAAATATCCATATTTTCAAATTCTAGATTATTTATAACGAACGAACAATACCGGACAATTTGATTCTTCAACATAACCTCTGGTGATCGATTGGAAATTGCGCCATAAGTCAAACCACCAATTTGCAATAATCGAATAATAAACAAATCAAGTGGAAGATTTAAGTCTTTGGCGATTTCATGTGCGAGTAAAGTTGCCTCAGGTTTTATGGAGAATACAACTATGAAATTATATTATATGAATATATATGTCGAGGTTGGATGAACAACTAACAGTAGAAAAGGCTACCAACCAGTATTGTCATGGTTCGCGTAATATCTTAATAATTTTGCCAATAATTTTCCAGCTTCCGGGCGAGACGTAAATTTCGGGTGAACATACGAAGTACGTACATTTGGTTGTGAAATGTGACCACAGATTGTTGGATAGTGGATTAACTCGTGTCCTTGACTATGGAGTCCATTTCCATTAATTTGTGGGTATCCAGTATTGTTGGTAGAATTTGTTTCAGGTTGTTCTGCAAGCATTTTTTATTTATGATTGATAATTCGTGAATTGAAGGGTTGATTTTAAATTACGTTTCCTTTTATTTCAATTTTATTTTGGGGGGAGGGACACAAGAGAATTTTTTTAAGAAAAAAAAGATCAAACAAAAATTGTGATCAATTTATACAATTGTTTATTTTCACACCAAACTCAAATTGTTTATCTTCTCACACATAAAGCACACACGCTTCATTTCTTTACATAGTTAGTTGTATGAATGATATGAACAAAAGACGCGATTACAAATTTTTTGATAATCTTATCTCGACACGTACTTAAATCTAGTGTCACTCTGATGTCATTATCTCACTATTTGTATGAAATGAATTAATGCATATGTGACGCGATTCTTTACAAATCAGTTCACGCAGTTATTGTCACCTCATGTAGATATCACCTCATGTAGATATCAAAAGAATTACTCCAATGTTCCACAAAAAACAAGTTTTTCCTTGAAAATTCTCACATTAGAGATAGATAAACCATATATAGAGTAATAAGTTGCGGGGTTATCTTAGTCACTGGGATTTTATATTCCGCGATAAAGCAGAATATTTTACTTTTGTTTACGTGTGGCCTATTTTTGAAATAACAAGTTTACGTTGTGGGTTGCAAAAATAAGGGTGTGAAGAAAAAAATTGCAGTGAAATAGTTATCGCATACAGTACCTCCGGAGGTACTGTATGGGATAACTATTTCACTACGATTTTCATTGATTGTCCTAAAACAGAATTGCTTATCAGTTGTATTTTGAAATGGTCTTTGTTTTTTATAACATAAAATAACCTTCAATTCAATTAATACACGAAATATTATAATACAAAAAGACAATAAACCCAATAAAATAAAATATATGTATATAGTGACTGCTTTAAAATAAATAAATAAATATATATATATATATATTTATATATTTAAATATGTATATATGTAAGACAATAAGTCACCACCACAATCATCGTTTAAACTACCAGAAAAATTTCGCCCAAACAACAAATATTATCAATGCGACAAGGACTATGATAATTAGAACGGTAATTACGCGGTTTGTGGCCATCCTAATTTTAATAATTTATTATAATATTAGCTTAAAACAATGTCTATTATTATATTGTTATATTATTTTAAAAAAAAGATAGAAGTATTACGAAACACTAACCGACGTGTCATGCCCTTAAGTGTGCGTTGAGCTTTATCAATGTAAGAATCAGCTTCGAGTAACTAAATTGAAAAAATTATCATCATTATTAGTGATTAATTCATGAAAAAGAAAATTAATGGATATAAAGAGCACAAGCGTACAGTATTCCTAGTATTTATAATCTGTTCTCTTTGTCGTCGAATATCTTCAAGAACATTGGCCCCAATTATTTCTAAAGAAGATACAAATAAATTTTATTGTTTAATTTATGTATACATATATCAAGCCAAACAGTACCTGTCTCTAATGCAATTCTATGACTATCCTGTAACCGTTGACTACTTTCCGCCAATCGTTCGGTGCCAGTCAGAAGCCGAGCTCTTTGGTCTATTGAAGCACTATCGAGATCGGTGCCATGAGCTCCGGATAATAATTCTTCGCGATCCGTAGGTCCGTTAATACGCGAGCTTGCACGTTTCTGTAGTATTATTGAACAGAAAACCTCGAGTTAATCGCTTTCTTATGTTTAAATTCAGTAAACTTATTATTATAGAATAAAAAAGTTCAAGAAATGATGATACGCTTCGTAAAAAAAATAATTATTACCAAATCACGTTTTAGTTTATCCAAGTTACTTCTATAGGTTCTAAGCCTGGGTTGAAGACGAAGACGTGATGAATTAGGAAGATTAAAAATCTCAATTTCCATTTGTGCTAACTATTAATTGAATTGAATTAAAATGTTAATTATGAGAATTAGCATAAACATTCATTCTTATAAACTATAAAATCTAGTAATATTACAATTTCCGTTGCTTCATCGATTTCACGTTCTGCAGCGTGAACAGTAGCTTTCCTTGGCTCTAAAGAGATTCATAATACGAGTATTTTTCAGTATTTTTATTACTAAATATATAATAGAAATCTGAAACAACATACCCCCAGACTGTTGTGGGATCGTTTTAGTAATTTTATCCGAGATAGATAAAGCCACTTGGTTATAGTCTTGCTCATAGGAGGTGAATAACTCTGAGCCACCCGTTGCATCCATCTTATTGTTTAATTTTGATTGAACTTTTGGCGAAAGTTTGCGAAATTGAGACAAGGAATGAAATGAATCGTGATTGGCTATCACATGAAATTTCTTGTTACACGGTACAAACTGTTGTTGATAAGTTATCGTTATCGTATTTTTCGGCAATTAGTACCCCCTTGATAATCTCGGTTACGAGTTGAGCAGAATGTAAAGTACCCCTTTCATAATTCCTGAAATTAGCATTATTCAGGCCAAAACTAGTGTAATCCGGACCAAAATTACGGATTCCATGTTAAGTATCCCCCGTATAATATACCCTCCTCTTCACAAAGTACCCGGTGGGTACTAATCAATTTATGAGCCCCTAGAATGTAAGAGACCCAGTACTAATTGCCGCAAAATACGGTATTATTGCTATGCATTCACATTAATAACAAAACCCAGTGTAATAAGATAAATACGTATATCATTTTTCAAAGATCTTGCTTTTTGCTAAATGTAAAATTGAAAACAATATATTTATAGCCATTATAAAAAACTAAATACATATAATTACTTAATTTCATGTTTTTCAAACAAACTTTATTTACAATATAAATTTAGTTATTAATTTATTAACATTGTACGTAATTGTTGTGTAACGTTTATTAAAAGGATCGGCGAATAGGAACATTTTCACATTTTATCTGGCATACATACAAAACAAGTTCTAATCTTATATAAAAGTATATATGAGTATAGTATATGGCTTCCACCACAGCAAGACCAATACCACGTACTCAAGACCTCCCACCAGAAGGTGGTTTCCCGTCAATAAGATATAAACGTAATATCCCGAAAAAAGGGCCGTCTGGGTTGACTTTAGTTCTTGGTATTACTGCTATTTCTGCATATGGGTTTTATAGGTATTTCCAAGGGAAAAATGAAAGGCAGTAAGTGTATACTAACTAATTTAATAAATCTGCGTGCGAGTTGGTCGAGTGGATATTGTTCGTGTTTTTTCTACATGGGCAAATTTGTATACTAATGGTGTTATTGAAAAGGTATTTCATTCAAAAGATCCAGCGAATTTTTAATATTATTCACTCTTTGTTTCCAAACAATAATATAATCAAATTAGTGAGTTAGAACGGGAAAATATGTGGTCACGTATCCATCTCGTCCCACTACTTCAAGCAGAACATGATCGCGACACTTATCGAAGAGAACAGGCTGCAATAAAACGCGAGGCAGAGATCATGAAAGATGTACCTGGGTGGAAACCGGGCGAAAGTGTGTACCATACGAAACGATATATCCCAACGAGTATTTGGGTTATTCCTGAAAAAGATTAAATTGTTTAAAATAATAGCGATAGTTGCCGTTATTTACGAAATAATAAATTAGTGATCGATCACCCAGGAACACAGAATTAGAGAATTGTTTATTCCAACCTTTTACACCATTTACCATAATGTCCAATACCAATGTTAATAATGAATTAGTTTCACATAAAGCTTTCGGAATACCGTTAATTCTCTCAAACATTTTCGTGTACATTGCGCTAGAACAACACGTACTTTCCTGTTCTCTGGTAAATCATTTGTGGAATCAGCTTGCCACCGAACGTCTATGGTACAAATTCCGTGGACTAGCCAACGAATCAAAAACCAAGTCTTTCAGAAAATTCCTAAATGTGTTACGTGAATCACGTCAAGGAAAATGTCTTCATCGATATGAAAGATACGTGAGAGTGTTAGACTTGGAACGTCTCAGATTTAGTCACGAGACGTTACTGGAAACACTTCAGTGTTGCCCGCGACTAGAGTTAATTATATTGCGGGGTGGGAAATTGGACGGCGCAAAATTTGGACAGATTGCTGAGCATATGCCAAATATTAAAGTCATGAAATTGAAAGATTCGTCTATTTATGATGGTAATGCCTTGGTGGCATTGGCAAAGTATTGCCCGAATTTGGAAGAATTGTCGTTGAAAAGAGATATCGAGTGTTATGGAGAAGTAGTCATTGAAATAATGAAGAATTGTCCACGCATAACACGACTAATTATCGAACAAAAGACATACGAAGACGACATACTGAAACAAATATTATTACATTGCCCAAATCTAGGCACTTTAATTCTAGATCATTGCATCAACATTTCAGAAAATTTTCTGCTCACCATCTACAACTATTGTCCGTTGCTGAGTTCACTAATACTAACCCACGTTTATCAGGTGTCAACTGAGTTTTTATTGGCGACTGTACGATTCTTCGACAACGCTCCGAAACTTTCAATTCAAAAGGTGGACAAGCCACTTGATAGTCGTGTCGAAGCGAGCCAAGAGAAAATTGAAGTTAATTGGGTGAGTTGTGATCTTGGCCGTATTTTAGAATTTTATCGAACCCGAAAACGACGCTTAGAGATTTTGCAAATGACTGGGCTCACGTTAAGTCATGTCACTCTGAATATTCTGTGCGAGAGTCTTGATCTTTCTATTTTACATTTGGATCGTGTTGATGGGTTAATGAAATCTGTACGTTATTTTTACTTGGTTTCTCGGGTTGCATAAATAATAATTTTATTGATAATTTGGATTCATTGTTTTGGTGATAGGATATTCTTGCAGCAGTTTCTAAACTGAAAAATCTGTCAACTCTTCGAGTGCATTTTCAGACATATGAAGTGAATCCGTTGCTTAGCGATGAACTAAAGAAAATCGCTGAAGCTTGTCCATCACTTCATTATATTGAGTGGCATTTTCAAAAATATTATTTCTGAGAAAAATCACAAATTTATTTTTGGTAATCATTCTAATTTTCGAAAATTATTACGTATGTACGAAGCTTGAATATTTTGGCATTTCTCAACAGTAAAACAATTGTTCTGTTAAGTCAATTCTATCAAAGATCTTGTCTGAGATCCCCATCCTGCCTTAATACCTTTACGTTGAACCAAATAACATGTCGTATGTATGTAGAACTTAACTTTGATTCAGGGTACTGTCGCTTTTTTGATTAACGAGAGATCTTAACCACTCATTTATTATTTTCAAGCCTAAAAAGAAAAAAGTTGACAAGTTTCCAAAGTTTAATTTTGGTACAACGTTCGAGACTTCAAGTTCTACCTCGAAATCACAACCAGCCTCTTCAAATGCTGAAGAAGAACCGGCATCAGCAGAGGAAACAGACGGGCTAGAAGCTTTGCGAGCCATGCTTCCAACTTCTTTTGGCGTTAAAAAGAACACGAAAGTTTCAACTGAGGCCTTCGCTAAAACACGACGAAAAGAGGAAGAGGCTAAAGTATGAGAAGCTAGTTTGTCTTTCATATGGGACTTTAGTTTTTTGTAAAGGGTCATGTATAATATCTTTTGCTGAGCTGCTGCTAAAACTTTAGTTCAACTTGGGTTAGAGTGTGGAAATTGGGCCGCTTCCGTCTGAAACTGGTTCTCCGGCAAAAGGCAAGCGTGTCAGAACTGAGACGAGTCAGCCATCTGGAGAGCGTTTTGAGAGTGATAGTGAAAATGAGGAGGAGGAGGAGGAGGAAGAAAGTGCAGAGAAAGATAACTTATTGAATACGTTACCTATTTCACATGAAATCAAATTAAATGATCATTTTAAGGTTGACTGTTATCTTGTTCTTAATGGATAATGGAGGTGTGGAAAGTGTTTTAATACGAAGCATTTTTTAATGGTTATTTTTAGAGTGTTACAGCGTTAGCTCTTGATCCTGCTGGAGCGCGGCTGATCACCGGAAGTTACGATTATGATATAAAGTTTTGGGATTTTGCAGGGATGGATTCTAGCTTGCGCCCGTTTCGTAGTCTTCGTCCGTGTGGTGATCATCAAGTATACTTCCTCCCTTTTAACCGATTATATGTAAAAGCGCAAAGGATTTCATATTCACGACTTTAATATATAGATTCATCATATCGAATATAGTCTAAGTGGAGACCAGTTCTTGATTATTTCCGGTTCTGCGCGACCAAAGTTGTATGATCGAGATGGATTTGAAATGTGAGACTTTTATGTAAAGTACATTCTTATGTTTCTTTTTAATATTTTTGTAAATCTTTAGTAATTAATCTATTTGATCAGTGAAGAATATATTAAGGGTGACCCGTATATACGTGATATGAGAAATACAAGGTGGAATATCTTTCGCCCAATTATTGTTATTTTATGATGCGATTTTTAATAATAATTATCAATTCCGATTTGATTAGCGGACACGTGGCAGCACTAACATCTGGCGGATGGCATCCACATGATAAACAATACTTTTTTACAGCCTCTGCTGATAGCACAATAAGGTTCTAAATAAATAAATTTTGTTAATTTACGATACTTTTGATTTGGTTGAATTAATATTTTGTTCTTCCCGTAGATTATGGGATGTAGAAAATAAACGTAAACAGAAACAAGTTATTGTGTTTAAGACTAAAGAACGTGGTGGTAGGACTATAGTCACGGCAACTGTTTATAGTCCTGACGCTAAATTAATCGCTGCTGGTAAATATAGTATAGTTATAATTTTTTGATTCGTTAATTACTGAGTTCATTTCTGTATTAAATTTTTTTATTTTGATTAGCTGCTCAAGATGGCAACCTGTGTCTCTGGCCTGCAAATGGACCCTATGCTCGTCCCTCGCACGTGAGTACTAATAGTTATAGAGTTTTCTGCGCTAACTATTATTATTATTATTATTATTAATCTCGTTGATAAATAAATATTTTCAATATAGATCATAGAAAAGGCACATTCGCCACACAGTGAAACATCCTCAATAATATTTTCGCGAAATAATTGGACGGTGGTTACAAGAGGCGGCGATGATACTGTCAAAGGTTGGTTTGTTCTATTCTCTGTTTTTTTCTTAACCCAAAATATTCGTTTAATTTATCTATAAATTATAGTATGGGATACGAGAAACTTTAAGAGTGTTGTATCGGTAGCGAGTGATCTTCCAAGCTATAATCCCGAAAATAACGCGATATTCAATCCAGATGAACGTCTAATCATAACTGGCAATAATGACTTCTTTTTCTTTTTTCTGTAAAGGTTATTATTTCTTTTCAAGGTGCTTATTGAGAGTTTTATAATTAATAATAGGAACTGCGGTTAAAAGGGGAGCGGGGTATGGAAAACTCGTGATGATGGATCGAAACACACTGCAGATTGTACGGACAATTAGTAAGTTTATATATTTTAAAATTAGATTGAATTTTGCTTAAGTGTTTTGAGGAAATTTTATTGGTGGGATATTCATATTCAGGTATAACACAATCCAGTGTAATACGAGTATTATGGCATTCTAGAATAAATCAGGTATGAATTATAATAAAAATTACATTATTCTTTTTTCTCTACAAAATTCTCAATGCTTTTCCTTAATAAAAAAAAAAGATCATAACAGGAAGCGCTGACGGCTCCGCTCACGTATTTTACGATCCGAATGTAAGCGTCCGAGGCGCAAAACTCTGTGTCGTCAAAGAACCAAAGAAACGGTCGATCGATGACTTTGAAATCAATCGACCGATTATTGCGCCACATTCGTTGGCTCTATTTCGAGACGATAGACCGAAAACGACAAAGAGAAAACGAGAGAAACTTCGTAAAGATCCAATTGCTTCAAGGAGACCTGGTAAAATTTATTTATTTATTGAAGGTTGATTGGCTTGTTTGTGAATGTAATGTTTCTAAAGGTAGTAATGTTTCTGTGTGGTTCTTTATTTTGTAGATTTACCTGTTAGTGGGCCTGGTAAAGGTGGAAAGATTGGTAGCAGTTTAACGCAACATATCATGAAAGATTTGATAAGAGATACAACTAGAGGTTTGTTGCTTTTTTTGAAGTATTTTTGGTTTTTGATTCGGGATATTCGTGTATTTATATGTATCAAAATTAAAATCACTTTAGACGAGGATCCACGTGAAGCGTTATTGAAATTTGCCACAATATCTGAAAGTAAGTTGATTTCTCTTTTATTTGTTTTTTTAGATTGGTCACATATACTCTCAATTCTCTCAATAAAAACATTTTATTTTCTAGCCGATCCAAAATGGATAGGAGCAGGTAATGTTAAAAAAGAGTTTTCAGTTGTTTGTTTTTATCGATATTACCGAGTTGATTGTATTTACTTATTTTTCACTTAATGTTTTTAAAAAGCATATAAACAAACGCAGCCAGTTCCCATTTTAGCAGAGACTACTGGCGAGGAGGAGGAAGAGGAGGAAGATCAAAAATAAAAAAAGATCCGATTCAAAGATTTGATTGCTTAAGATTATTAGAGGGAAGGTCATAGAACTTATTTATTTTTTTTAATCCAATATAAAAAATTGCCTTGCAACTGACTTGTGTAATCATGGATAATGAGAATTTGCAAACACAATCACTTAGTAGTCTTCATTATATTATGTTTACATAACCACAGCGAAATCAATTATTACTTCCGCATATTATAATTACAAACAGTTAAACTATATTTAGTGTAACTGATTTTGAGGATTTCTAGTAAAATTGTAAATAAATTATACTTTACAATTTACTCGAATTCACAATTAACCCGCTAAATATCTCTTTCAACGCCTTTCCTACATATGCAAAATCGCTCAAATCAGTATAAATTTGTGCACTTAATCTTACCCACCAGGCATCACCATGCTCGAACTCCAACACAGTGCAATTATACTTTTTGAATGAAATCTTGATGAACTGAGTTTTCATAAACTCTTGAATTTCAGGCGAATCCTGCACGGGAAGTCGAACGTTTACCATATGTGCGACTAGACTTTCGGGGCCCATTACTTCTGTGCCGAGAATTGAGGCTACTAAGCATCCACCTTCCCATGCCAAGCGGTGGCAGTATTGTTGGATTAGTGCCTCGCCGCCTATTTTTTGACGGAATTCGAGCGCGGCGGTGATGGTTAAGTAGGAACTATTTGTTTTCGATACGGCAAAAAGGGAAAACAGGCGGATGAAAATACATAAGAAAGAGATCATGAAGTAATGATAATGCTATCTGTACACAAAAGATATCGGAAATAGGGAATGGTAATTTGTTGAGAGTTTCTATTGCTAAAATATTTTGAAGTTAGATCGATTGATATACTATGGTTACCCGTTATTCGAAATTCATGTCTGTAAAAATATTCATGCCTATAAAAATTAATCACTATTATAAAAAATCTTTAATATTCCAACACAGACCTAAAATCTTGCGTTCCTACCCAACTGAATTCATCCACAAATCCCTTCGAATAATACATGCTAGTTATCGGATGATGCAAACCATGTTGATTCCGATATGGAACGTAGAGAATAGCCGACCCTCGAACAGTATACAACCACTTGTGAAAATTTGCAGCAAAGTAATCTGGATCAAGGGCTCTTATGTTTAGTGGTATTTGACCAATCGAGTGTGCACCATCAATTACCGAAAGGATCTTATGCTGTTTTAGGAGTGGGATTATACGTTGAAATGGGACAATGACACCTAATAATTCACGGTATTCAGTAAAAGTTTAGCGCAGGAGTCAACAGTTGTTTTGATAAACAAACCAACCGACCAGGCATAGACGATATTGCATCAATTAATGCTAATTTTATTCGGGATTTTGGATTTTGATGCTCTGCTTCTATTCTTTTTGTGAGGTTTGCTACTAGGTCGTCATCGCTTATAGGATAAATAACCTTAATCTCAATCAATGAAACTTTCCCGCCGCTTGTGTCTCGAATAAAGTATAACAGCTCTCTAACCGCTTTATAAACAGTCGAAAAAAACAACAACTAAAGATAAAAATAAAGAATTTAATTCAAATTTCTACATAATAACCAAATTTATTTTAACGTCATTAAACAAAACCTTATCCCCCTCTTGATAACTCAAACTCTTCAACACAGCATTAACAGCCGTAGTAGTATTCTGCACAAATACAATTTCGTTAACGTCCGCGTTCACAAAAGCGGCAGCCTTTGCTCGTGCTTTATCAAGTTCAACTGCCAAATCTTGACGCGTCCATTTGTCTGGGGCACTTTCAGCCCTGTCTTGAAATTTTCGGAATGCCTCTAAAACACTTTTTGGAGATTTTCCGTATGAGCCGTGGTTCAGCGAAATGTGGGCGTCTTCAAATAGGAATTCGGAACGCATCGAGCGTCCGAATTTTGTGATTGTGGAATTGTTCATTGTTGGAAGGAAGTTAAAGTATTAGGTAACACACGTGAACAATTACCCAGAACTATAAAGCTGAGTGCTTTCCTCAAAACGCGTACAATTTAGATATTCAAGAGATGAGTGGTTGAGGTTATTTTTGAAGAAATGAAAAATGTATATGGTCTATCACTATTGACAAACGGGTATTCTTTACCCAAGTATGTATTTATGAAGTTTTGCGTCATACAATTTGTTTCGCTTCTTTGGGTTTGAGAAAGATTCTTGAATCGCGTTTGTCCAGGGGCAGAGATTTTTTTGATCGAGAAAATAGCTTCCTTTGAAGGATAAAGGTTTTTCTTAAACATTACTGTTACAAATACCGAAGCCTATTCCGACATCGCTCAGTAACTAGAAAATGTGTCTTCACCGGTGACGAAAGTGAATTTACTGATTATTTATTTACTTATCATTGTCTCATGGCAATATTTCAATAATAAATTCAGGTATCCGAGACAAATGTTGTTACAATTTATTATGATTGAATAAAAATGGATATTGTAATAATAGTCCGTATTAAGGACTAAAATATGAGACAATTTCAAATGGTTAGTATATAAAGTTCGTGTACACGCATTTCTCTCAATATCCTCAGCTTGAATCATAGATGACTGTAATAGGCAATCAATTAAAATATAATCTGGTGTCTGAATAATTAATATTTCTCAACCCACTCTAAAAAGTCCTATTTTTGAAAATAATCGCTTTTAAAATTTAGAATGCGTTTGAAAAGCTCCAGCGAACGGATCAGGTCCCATATTATGAGAAACTACTTCACGTCCACGTCCACGTCCACCATCACCAACCTCTTCATCATCGTCATATCTCATTCCCAACAAAGAATTATCCAAACTGAAAAAGACTTCATTGAAATCATACGAGCCCACATTTTCACTAATCTCATATTTATCGAATAATAAAGGAATTTTTTCGCTCGGTGGCTTAATTTCCAGGTCTTGTGGTCGAAGTTTTGGCAACGGCGGCGGGTTCTTAAATACCATTCGGGCATCTTGGACTTCTTCTATGAAATCCGGTTTAATCGGATATTTTTTCTGATCGAGATTTTCAATGACTCGTTCGATTGAGCCGTGTTTTTTGACGAGTTTATAGGCATTCATTGGACCGATTCCTTTGATTTTTTCGGCAAAATCTGTGCCGCAGAGAATACAAACGTCAAGAAACGCGTCTTGAGATAATTCTAATTGTTCTCGAGCTCGTGCAGAAGAAATTTCTAAAATGGGTTTGTTCTTAAATAGGAAAAATCGCAAAAATGGGCCATCACCAAATAATGCGGTATCCATATCCTCGGTAACCGAAGCATCAGCTATTCCATTCGCAGTCAGGGTTGCGCACATGGCTTCCGCTTCATGATCTTCAACTGTTATACATGGCATTCCTAACGAGCGTAGAAATTCTTGACTCTCGTAAATCATTTTGGAGGTAATCGGTGCAACTCGCCTCTGTAATGATATCACTAGATTATGACTTTCGGTGCTCACTTTTCTCATGAGATCTTCATCAGTTTTACCGGATACCATAGTATCAAGAATATGGAACTCGACTTTCTTAAAGTTTAGTTGTGTTTTCGAGTATGCTTTAGTACTTACTAGTTCTTTTACATCATCTAGTGTTCCTTTGACTATATCTTCGACCTCTTTTTTCAAATCCAACATTTCTTCTGTGGGCGAAAAACTTGGATGTCGTTCCTTGAATGTTCTCTCGTCGCCCATTTGTGCCATTGCTTCTACCATCTCAAAAGCACCTTGCATTACGTCCTCAGCTTCTTTACGTAATGGAATGCTCTCTTCAATTGTGACATCAAGCTCTTGTATTTTTGCAACCGTTTCTTGAATTATCTGAGCTTGATCGGGCTCTAGTATTATCGGTTCTTCTGCGGTTTCACTTATCATTTCCTCGGCATCTGCTTCTTTTATTAATTCATGTTCTTGAAGCGCTACAATTTCTTCAACTTTTGGTTCTTCTACCTTTGTAATTTCTTCTTCGATTAGCTCACTTATTGGTATTATAGACTCTTCAATTTTGGCTATCTCTGCAGGTTCCGCTCGAAATACAATGTCCTCGGTAACTACAGATTCCTCTTTTATTATCGCAGGTTCTTCGGTAACTACTAGAGGTCCCTGTATTATATCAACTATTGTCTTCTCGATCAACGGTGTATCAAGCGAACTAACTTCCTCTACTCTTGAAGGTTCTGTAATTATCTTGATCTCTTCTTGATCCGATGGCGGCATCTCAATTTCAACAGATTCTAATTTTTCCATAACGAGTTCAGCATCTAAGCGTTGCTCATCTTTTGTGGATATATCAATTTCAACGGGCCCTTCTTTAGGTTTTTCAGCAACAGAAGTCTGTTCTGGCAATGTGGTAGTAATTGATTCTAGTTGAATGAGTTGGGCGATGGATCTCTCAAATGCTTCGGAAACTATTAAATTGTTTATGTCAGCTGTGTCTAATTGTATAGGATCTTTCTCAGAAATTATGACTTCTTCGAATTTTTCCGTGATTGTCTCGACTTGACGAATTTCAACGGGTTCTTTAGGTTTTTCCGTAGTTGCTTCATCTTGACGAATTCCACCGGGCTTTTCTTTAGGTTTTTCAGCAACAGAAATTTCTTCTGGTAACGTAGTAGTAGTAATAGGTTCTAGTTGAATGAGTTGGACGATCAATCTCTCGAATGCTTCGGAAATTATTATTAAATTGCTTATATCGATTGTGTCTAATTGTAAAGGCTCTTTCTCAAAGGTTTCAATTTCTTCGAATTGTTCTATAATTGCCTCATCTTGGCGAATTTCAACGGGCTCTTCTTTAGATTCTTCAACAGAAATCTCTTCTGGCGACGTAATAATAGGTTCTGGTTGAGCAACTATTTCCAATCTCATAGGTGTCTCCCATGTAATTTCCGAATCTATATCTTGAATTTCACGTCCAATTTGATTAACTAAATCTTTGATTCGCGGCGACACTAAATCCGGATGAATTACTTCCAACTCTTTAAATTTTTCTACCGCAACATCCTTGATCCCTGTAGTAAGAAATTCGGATTTTACATCCTCCAAATTCTTCATTTTCTCAACAACATTCTCCCACTTTTCCAACCGTGTCTTTCTGTTCTCTTCAAACTTTAGTCCCGTATTGGTATTTTGACGTAATATCCTTCGTTTCAAAAGTTCCTGGTGTTTCTCTTTGACACGTCGTTTGCCATCAAACACAAATATCGGTTTGATGTTGTGCTGCTTTAGAAACATTGTCAAGTGGTAGAATCCGACAATATGAGGATACTGGTGAATTTCATTGTTGCGCGGCGCGCCTTTCACGAAGCGACGTATAAATACACTGGCATCGATAGCCAAGGTTTTTCCTCGAAAATCGTTAATTGTTTTGAGGACTAAAGCCTCGGGGGCGTGTCGTTTCAGTAGTTTCGTTAAGTCTTTGACACCCATAAAAGGTTCCAATGACACAAGTCTGTGACATTCGTATTAAGACGTTAAAGTGTACTCTTTGATTGGCCAATTAATTCTTTTTTTTTAAAATTGATTGATTTATGTTATAATTCAAGCGCATCGTTGCAATAACGATAAGGCCACTAACAAAATTTTTTGGTTTTCATAACACATGACTATGTGAAATGACCCGGCGACCCAGCTTTTATTTATTTAAATGAAATCAATTATTTTTTTTAGTGGGACGCGATATCTCGCGATCTAACCATGCTGCGACACTGCTGAAATTTGAGATGTATGAGTCACATGAAGCCAATGAAAATGTTGTATTTAGAAAACCAATCATTTATTTTTGCATGAAGTAATACAACCAATCAGAAATCGTTCATGTGATACAGCCAGATCATTTCTATTCGAAAAATTATTAATATTATCGTTATACTGAACAAAAAATACGTTAAATTAGTTAGGTATTTAACAACGTAATTTTTTGTGATTAAAGTATTTGAATACAAATCCTTTATAGTTTAAAGTATTGGATGCTTTAGTCTGCGCGCACTATAGTTAAGGCAAATCTAATAATAATTAAATCGCTTCGATCCGTTTACTGAATCGCGTCCTGAAGTTACCGGACTAAAAAAATCGATTTTTAGAATAAAATATTAAAGATGACTCATCAATCGATCTACACTACACTAATACCATAAAAATTTGCACATGTCAATATCGATATGCTTCGACATCTATGGACTTTAATAAATCATCGTTTTCCGTATCTTCAACAAATACAACACCAACGGGGTATTATTGGAACAGAGTCATTTGTTAGAAACTATAACATTATGGCGCAATTAATTGACGGAAAAGCAATTGCAAAGTATGAAAGACAAAAAATATATACGCGATTAATATCTATATGTACAATATTCACTATATTTGTATAAATACCACTTTTTTGGAATTAGGTCTATTCGTGACCAAGCCAAACTCGAAATACAAGAATTACAAGCGAAATATCCTGGGTTTAAACCACACCTTGCTATTATTCAGGTTGGAGAACGCGAAGACTCGACTGTTTATGTGAGGCAGAAGGAAAGAGCTGCTAAAGAGGTAAAATGGAGGCTTTTCTTGCTTTGCCTGTTTGTTAATGTTTAATATTTTTAAAGCTCACAATAGTTTTCGTAGTCGGGTATCAACATTACAATTCAAAAACAAGATTCTTCTATTACCCAGTTTGAGGTATTTATTTATTTATTGCAATGATAGCATTTTTTATTTTTGAACAAGTATAATGGTCCTTTGATGCTCAATATGGGGTTTTAATGTCTCTTAGCTTTTGAGAGCTGTGCAAGAGCTCAACAACAATCCCTCTATACACGGTCTACTTGTTCAACTTCCGCTTCCTGACCATATTAGCGAAAAAATTATAACAGAAGCTATTAGTCCCAAAAAGGACGTTGATGGGTATTTCTTTCTTTTCGAACTTATTAACGAGCACTATTGAAATACTTTTTTTTCCGTATACAATTTATTAATTGATTTCTTTTTAATCGAAGTTTCCACGCACATAATATCGGAAACCTTTCAAAACGCCATAGTAGCCCGTTGTTTGTGCCGTGTACTCCAAAAGGAATTATAGAATTGTTGAATCGAACTGGTTTGTAGTATATGTATTATTCTAAAATAAATGGCGAAAAATTTTTTGGTTTCTCTCTTCTAATTTCGAGGAATTATTATATAGGAATTCAGATTTCTGGAAAACATGCTGTTGTAGTAGGTCGTAGTGATATAGTGGTATGAAAATTTAAAGTTATAATTTATTTTTTTTTTGTTTCGAAAAGTCAATTTTTGATGTTACAACCAAACTTATGGCACCAGGGATTCCCAGTATTCACACTTCTCTCACGAGCAGATGCAACTGTCACGTTATGTCATTCAAAGACTGAGAATCTTCCCGAAATTGTATGTAATAAATTTGGTTTTTATTCTCATTAGAAAAAATACACATATATGATGAAAATATGTCATAGACAAAAACAGCCGATATCCTTATCGTTGCCGTCGGCAAAACAGAATATATTAAGGGTGATTGGGTTAAACCAGGAGCTGTTGTTATCGATGTTGGAACCAATGCTGTTGAAGGTATCTCTTAACAATATTATATATATGTTTTGATTTTTCAATTCAAAAAATAAAATACAATTTTCTCCAGATCAATCCAAAAAAAGCGGAATCCGCTGGGTTGGCGATGTAGAATTCTCGAGCGTCTCCCAAGTCGCGTCACACATAACACCAGTTCCAGGCGGGGTAGGTCCAATGACGGTAGCCATGTTGTTGTATAACACAGTCGATAGCGCCAAAAGATTTTGGAAAGAGAGTAGGGAAAGGCGTGTTACCAGTCTAACGCTGAAACCGTTCATCCCCGTCCCCAGTGACATCGATATTGCTTCGTCGCAGACGCCGAAACCGATAAAGGCTTTGGCTGAAGAATTGGGGTTGGCAGGGAATGAGGTGATTTTAATTTTTAGTTAGGGTTTTTTTATAAAGAAAATGAATTTTTACGATCTGATACGATACTTTATTGGTTGACGACATCAGTACGAGCTGTATGGTCAATATAAAGCCAAAGTTAATTTGAGTGTATTAGACCGATTAAAGAACAGGAAAGATGGAAAATATATTGTAGTGACGGGGTAAAACATTGTATATATTATTTTCGTATCCAGATTATTTCTTCAATATCAGGAGCTCCTCAATTTATTTGTTTTCACATCCATATAGAATAACACCAACACCACTTGGTGAAGGTAAATCCACCACAACGATAGGCATCTCACAAGCGCTCGGCGCCCACCTAGGTAAAATAGCCTTCGCGTGTGTACGCCAGCCGTCACAAGGGCCCACTTTTGGTATCAAAGGAGGCGCAGCGGGTGGCGGGTATTCACAAGTAATCCCGATGGATGAATTTAATTTGCATTTAACCGGTGATATTCATGCAGTTACGGCGGCTAATAATTTAATGGGTGGGTTTGATATATGTATGCTTGAGTTATTTGGCGAGTAGTTTTATATATTGGTAATTAATTACGAGGGCGCGCAAATCAGCGGCTGCTATCGATGCTCGAATTCTTCATGAAAGTACCCAAACTGACAAGGTATAAATAAAAAAATTGCGATTATTCTATATATTATTATAAAATTCGATTAACTTACTTCTTTTTATCTGGACAACTCAAGGCGTTGTTCAATAGACTTTGCCCCCTTAAAAAAGGGGAAAGAACATTTGCTCCTGTCATGGTGAAACGACTACAAAAACTTGGTATAAACAAAACAAATCCTGATGACTTGACTTCTGAAGAAATAAGTAAATTCGTCCGCTTAAATTTCGATCCGGACACTATAACATGGTTCGTTAAAAATGATAAGTCTTTTTTATTATACAACAGCAGCAAAAAAGAGAGATTTGACTTTTATTTTTTACTACTCGTACATGATTTTGTAACAAAGGCAACGTGTCATGGACACTAACGATCGTTTTCTTCGACGAATAACCATTGGGCAAAACTCAACAGAAAAGGAATTTGCACGCGCGACAGGATTTGACATTTCCGTTGCGAGTGAATGTATGGCGATTCTTGCGTTAACTACCGACCTTAAAGACATGCGCGAGCGACTTGGTCGAATGGTGGTGGCAAATAGCAAGGACCGTGTTCCGATAACTGCTGACGATTTGGGCGTTGGCGGTGCACTGACAGTCTTGTTAAAAGACGCGATAAAACCGAATCTTATGCAAACGTTGGAAGGCACGCCTGTATTTGTACATGCCGGTCCATTTGCAAATATTGCTCATGGGAATTCGTCGATTCTGGCAGATAAAATAGCTTTGAAACTTGCGGGCACCGAAGAAGGCGATGATGAGACTGAAACCGGATTTGTCATTACTGAAGCTGGGTTCGGTGCTGATATTGGCATGGAGAAATTTTTCAATATAAAATGTCGGATGTCGGGGTTGATTCCTGATGCTGTGGTTTTGGTTGCTACTTTGAGAGCATTGAAGATGCACGGTGGCGGTCCAGAAGTGAAAATTTTTAGGATATTCCTCGTTATCATTCTTTTTAGGAAATGATAATTTTTTACTTATATATACTTTCGGATAGGTGATACCTGGAAAACCACTTTCCGGAGAATATGTAGAAGAAAATTTGGACCTTTTGGAAAAAGGATGTGCGAATCTTATCAAGCATATACAAAACGCAAAAAAATTTAGGCTACCTGTGGTGGTGGCCATTAATCAATTCACGTAAGCAGTTACTGAATATTATTAATTATTTCCGATATATATTTTTTGAAACTCTTGTCAAACAATATTAGGACAGATACCGAGGCCGAGTTAACTCTCGTCCGCAAAATAGCCATTGAAGCCGGTGCTGATGACGCCGTTCCAGCCTCACATTGGGCTGAAGGTGGTGCAGGTGCAATCAAGCTTGCAAAAGCCATTGTACAAGCCACATCAAACCCTCAAAAGAATTTTCAATTTTTATACGATCTCAACAGGAGTATTATTGAAAAAATTGAGATTATCGCTAAAGAGATGTATGGAGCAAGTGATATCAGTCTGAGTGATAAAGCTAAAGAAAAAGTCGAGATATACACAAAGCAGGTGAGAATTTTTAACGTTAATTGGTTTTCCGAATGAAACGTTGCTTATTATTGAGTTATGTTTGTCATAAATATAGGGCTTTGGAAATCTGCCTATATGTATGGCCAAGACACATCTTTCTTTATCGCATGATCCAAAGCTAAAAGGTGTGCCTACCGGGTTTACGGTGATTGTTCGTGATATACGTGCTTCTGTCGGTGCTGGGTTTTTGTATCCATTGTTAGGTGAAATGCAAACAATGCCTGGATTGCCTACAGTAAGAGAAGAATCAAATTAGTTTCTTTTGATTTCATATATGGTTAATAATTGTTTATGTTTTATATTATTGCAGCGCCCTTGTTTCTTTGATGTCGATCTGGACTTTGAGTCTGGAAGGGTCGTTGGTTTATTTTAAATGAGCGCGATTTTTGGTAGTTAATCATCTGAAAATTTTTGTCCCTTTTATTTTTATTCACTTTCTAAATTCTATATATAAATTTGCTTTTTTTTATTTGGTAACACTATTATATTTATAATTATTCTATCAACGAAAATTGAATATAATTAAATATTTAATAAAAATTTATTATCGAAACATTAAAATTAGACATGTTTTTCTCATTAATCTAAGTGATCAAACATGGCGTTTCAGAAATAAAATATTAATTTATAAAAAAATAACTGTACATAATAAAGAATACCAATTAGATAATTCCAACCTAATATTACTTACAAACACAAACTAATAAAGAATTCCCCAAAATACTCATTTGGTCGTTAGAATCACTTCTATTTATTACTAATAATCAAATTAAAAATCGTCTAATCTATTTACGAAAATTGAATGTAATTTTTGTTGTAAAGGAAAAATGTCCGTTTGATGAATCTCTCAAAAGGGAAAAGATTAAATAAAGAAAAAAGAAAAATAAATAAAAACAAAATTTCTTGTGCATTTTGAAATTTTTTGAAAAATCGCCGTCATCGTTCTTAATTTCAGTATCAGTATAATATTCCGAAAAAGTCAAAACGTCGGAAATTTGTCTCGATATATATCAGAACATGGTTTCCCGTAAGACTCTTGTTCCTCAGGATACATGTCAAAATTACTAGTATCCCCATCTCCGTTCACATGAGGAATATACGGCGCCTCAATCTCTTGCCGACATAACCTTTCCCAATCAACACCTTTAAACCAATTATGCTGCTTAATATCCTCGCTACCACCCTTCAAATTACCATATCGCTTGCTTAAATCGGCTGTTAATAACCTTTTAAGCAGATCTTTGACAACCGACTCAAAAAAGCTTGGGTATTTTACACGACCTGCCACGATTTTTTCGTAGAGACGCATGTGATCCTCGTCGTAGAATGGCGGGTACCCGGCAAGCATTTCAAAAATTAGTACGCCTAGGGAGTACCAGTCGACCGCTTTGCTGTATCCTTTTGATTGGATTACTTCGGGCGCGAGATAGTCTGGAGTCCCGCATAATGTCCATGTTACGTCTGGCACGTGTTTTGCGAATCCGAAATCGGTGATTTTTATGTGGCCGTTACGATCTAACAGTAGATTTTCGGGTTTGAGATCTCGATAAATGATATCTTTTGAATGTAGGAATTCAAATGCGAGCAATACTTCTGATGCATAAAATTTTGCTACGTGATCCGGAAATCTCTGATAAAATTGAGCAAATATCAATTTTAGAAAAATCCCTTATCAAATATAAATATATCCCATTGATGCTCGATTAAAAAAAAAATACCTGGGTTTTCCTAAGCACACTAAACAGCTCCCCACCGACCACATAGTCCATAACCATATACAAATTCGCCGAGTCCTGGAATGTGCCCCACAATTTCACCATAAACGGATGACTTGTCTGTTCCAAAATACGTTTCTCATTGTTTGTATGCTCGACTTGTTTCAGACGAACAACTTCGGATTTTTTGAGTACTTTCATTGCATAAAATTTTTGATTATGTTTCGATTGAACTAAATGAACGCGTCCAAAGGATCCGGTACCAAGTGTTCGGCATAGATCAAAATTGTTGAGCGATAGCTTTAGGTTGATAGTACTACTTGTCATCGATATTTCCAGGGGATGTCGGGAGTTTTGTTGGACATGATTATTAGAGGAGGATGTGCTTTTTTCGTTTACTGGTAAGGGTGGCGGTGGCGTGTTGCTTTCTTCTAACATGCTGGAAGTTTGGTGTGAATGGGTATTGGGTTGTTGAGGCGAAGAAGGAATAATAATAGTGTTATGAGTTGATGATTTCTTTTTATTAATATCATTATAGCTATTGTTATTACTATTAGTAGAATTGGTATAAACTTTAGTTTGCAACATATTCTTTGTACTAAGATTATTATTATTTTCTATGAACGATGTCGAGATGCTGTTCGAGCATGTACTATTACTGTTGCTACCTTTAGGCTTAGGCGATATCCTGACTGATAACTTTTGAAAAAATGACATGGCGGCATGTGGAATAGAAGAAATATCCAGCGAAATATTTTTATATATAGATATGCCAACCAAGATAGAAAACAGAGCAGAGCATAGAATGAAAAGTTTAAAAAGAAAGGGCACACAAGACGATAGATAGACCAACCTACTATGATAGTTTTGTGTTATCGTCGTCGAAAACTTTCAAAACACAATTTCTTCTCCCTCAATATAAAAAATATAATATATAATATATAATAAAAACTCTACTACAAAGCAACAAACGCTGCTTCCTGTCTCAACTTCCCCTTGTGTCGTGTACGTGTGTTTGTTGTGTATTTTTTTATTGTATTTTGCTTAAGCTATTTTAGTTTGTTCAAGGATTTTTGTGAATTTGTAATAGCGCGCACGATCAAATCGAATCAAGGTTTTAATTCTACCTTTCGCATATATATAATATTTATCGTTATATATGCAGATAGATATTCCCATTCACAACATCTATAAATATTCACTTTTCCTGTCTCGCTCGTTCTCGGACAAATTACACAAGTTTGGACAATCAATGTGTCAATCTTCAATCTATTCGTAGAAGTCTTTATAAAGGTTGTAAAAATAAACGTTTAACCTGCCTTTTTCTCTGGATTGAGGTTCAATGATTGAATGCGAATGTCTGTCTGTGTGTGTATATGCACGTAATTTTATTCACTTATGTCTACGTAATGAAATGTAATGTAATGTAATGTCATGTATGCAATAATTTACTATTTTAATTTGTGCCTCATATTACTACCATCACCATTATCAACCTTATTTCACTGATTTGTGAATTTAAAACTGAGATTATTTATTAAATAGATTGAACATATTAAATTTCTAAATGCTATGTATATTATCACCGGGAAGATGACTAATCATGCAATTACAGGATTTTTGATTGGATTCGCAAGTTTGAATTTTAAACCTTGAATTTTCGTAAAACAACTTCGTTAGTAAAGAAATGCAACTTTTCTGCTCACACATTAAAATAGTATTTTATATTTCTCGCGCGTATTTTTGAGAAATATTTATGAATTAACGTGCTATATAAAATATAATTCAGTAAAACAGTAATTCTTCACAAAAACAGCTCTCTTCAAAACTTCACAATTTATTGTAAAACAGTTTCGTTTACGAGATACGAAATTCGGAAGCTTACGAAAATCAGAGCACAAAATCCAATGAAAGGTAAAAATAAAATTTATGCCGCCTTTACAATTTCTTCTATATTATTCAATCTGCTCAAACAGCACTTCCTTTCTACAAAATTCAAAATTATTAAAAATTAACATTTCTAAAAATCTTGCCGGTTCTAACGCAATAACAAAAAAATCAACTTACCGGAATCTCTTTGACCTTTTCAATCACAAAACTAGATTTATATCTTGCCACATCTTCAGAACGTAGCCCGTTATTAGTACTTCCAAAATACTGTTTGCAACCTGGAAGAAAGCGTAGCGTCACAGCCAGATCATGTGAAGGTGTTTGTTTCGGGAGTGTATAGGAACCAGAATGACCAATTGCTGCATATTTTTTAATAATTAAAAGCTCATGTAAATAAATTTTCATTTCCTAATTTCAATTTTTAATTTAACCAAGTAAACGAAAAGAAAATTATCAAACCTTTAACAACATCCGAATCCGCGGTATAAATTCCAGTCCCCCAAATGGTCTTCGTAGAAACATGCGTAAAAGTCACATAATCTGCCGGAATGCGAACTTCTACCGCCTCACCGTCGCTACCGGCTATTTTTCGTGATGGATAGACGAAAACTTTTGGTTCGGCTTTGGTGAAAGCAGTTGGATTTGCAGCGTCTTGTTGGCGTTGACGATCTATTTCTACGAAATTTACGCAATCGAAATTAATTAGTTTGAAATTGAATCGAATTGAACTGAATTAAGGATTAAAAACATATTTTGTTACTTGTAATAACTTCGTGTGCGACTTTCTCGATGATAGTCGGCAAATGTTCGTTGAACCAAGTGTGCAGTATTGATTCCGTGGCTTTGATGGCATCGTCATCTGTATCTACCTATTTATTTATTGTTCCGTACGTATTCCAAGTTGGTCAATAACCGTTTTCAAATACATTTATAATTATTGATTTTTTTACCTTTCCAAATTTAAATGCTTCACTCTTTCCCGCACTCGGTTGCTTAACCACCAACTCAAATCTCAAAATTGACGGTTTCGAGTTATAGTTACTATCCAAAGCGGAAGCTAATTCACCATTTGACGAGATAACAACCAAGTCATCCTCTTCATCGGTATAACTTAGCCCAATTTTATTGGCTGTGGGGATGCTAAACATGTCACGGAGCTGTAAATAGATGTATCGTTAGATTATTCGAGAAATCAACTAACTCGATTTTCTTTAAAATTCACCTGTTCTTCGATTTCAGGCCACGTAATAGACTGCGATACAACCAATTTACGATTCTCTACATCACCGCTTTCTGGATTCGTGTACTTAATTTTGATTGTAATTTCTGCACCACCCATTTTCTGTATTGAGTATTTAAAGTTTACGGTTTTTATTATTATTATCTGTTGAAAGAATTCTCAATTAATGAAGAAACAAACTAATGTTTTAGACGAGAAGTCCACATTCTTATTTAAATAGAGCTTTATAATTTCTATAATCTCTATTGTACACTTTGTATTTATTATATCGCATCTCGCGAAGGTTACATTTAATCTTCGCGCAATTTAGCACTGCATTGAAGATATTTACGCATAATAACAACAATTTACTGTGTGTCGTACACCACGGGAAAACAAACGAAATCTTATCATGATACAGTCAAAGCTCGATATGGTTTGGATAATTAGTAAACATTCGTTATACCGAAGGAAACGTTGTCGTTAATATAATTTATCGATATTGTTTATCGTTACCGCAATGTCTTAATTATAACCAATTACCCAATTAACAATTCAAGCGTTAGCAAAACTGAACACATTTCATTTTTTAGTCGTTGTTCGACGATGTGTAATATCAACTTTATAAAATCAGTTTCATTATTTTTTTATCACCACTCAAAGTTATCATAAAAATAATTATTCAAAGAATGATGTTTACATATTATAGGGAAACAGACAGCAAAAAAGCACGTCGTGTTTACATCCAAAGAAGGCAACAAGTCTGATAGCAGCAGTCCAGTTAAAGCTCCTCGTTGAGTTTTTTTGGGTCTTGGTCACATGTTTGCATGATTTGCTTTAAAATAAAAGGTGGTTAATTGGACTGGACGGCTTCATGGATGGGATGCGTGTAGGGGCATCTCATTATTCTCTGCTTCAGTGAGGGATGCTCTAAAAAGGTCAAGGAAGCATTGGACCGGCATGCAAATGTTCCGATTTAAGGTAGCTAGGCTTACTTAATAATTTCTTGAGAAAAAGTTCCATTATTTGTTGTCGAGAAAAAAATGTAAAGCAAGAGAAAAATATAAAATATAAAATAAAAGACAATCTCATCAAATTTAATGGTTTCTTTTTGGATCGATTATTAATGAACTTTTTATTTTAGATAAAGATGGAAGGAGGTGTTAAAACTCCAATACAAACAATCATTCTCGTTCATCACACAGACAATCGTTCTCGTTTATCACACAAACAATCGTTCGCCCCGTTCGTTCGTCACACAAGCAATCGTTCGGCTCATTCGTCGCAAATAACTCGTTTGGCTCGTTCGTCACACAAACATTCGCATTCGCGTGATGCATTCGTTTCATTCACCTTTTAAGAGGTCCTCATCAGCTTTTTGGGTGGGCAAAGGCTGATGTGAATCCCTTCGTGATACACCAGATTCACTACTAGATGAACGAGTGTTAAGAGGGATGGGGTCCCTCCTTTGTTCAATCACAACCTAGCTTTCAAATGTAGGGAGGATGGGGTCTCCCTTATATCATGAAAAGTTTTGACTTGCAACTAATCATGCTAATCAACGTGACATGGTAAATCGTCAAACTCAATGAAGATTGGACATTAATCATGCCAATGCAGAAAGAGAAATGCATCGTGCGTCACGTTACTACTCAACTCTAAGCAGCTCAGCTATTACTAAGCCAATCGAAATCAAAGCGGCTCAGCTAACTCTATATAGGTAGTATATATATAATAGTAGTTTAGTGTGTATAATACTATTATGTATAGACTAGTATTTCAGTCGTCTTTTTGTTTTTTGTCGCGCAAAAGGGCGTGAGGCGCCAGTAGCATGGCATCGGGGTACTGGGTTTTCTTTTTTTTGTTTCGCTAAAAAAAAGGGGTCGAAGCACACAGAAAACACTTTGCTCGTTATTCTTGATAAAATACGCTGTTAAACTAACAAAACAAATAAAAAAAATTCGTTTCGTTCAAAACTTAAATGGGCCAAGTAGTATTTTTTGAAAAGCTATGTCTACACTTTATACCATAATATAACGAAAATCGATTAAAAAGTAAAGGAAATAAAGATTATTAAACCTCGTCACAGGCCCTTGATATTTACAAGGAAGGTAACTACTAACCCATATTTTCTGTCTGAATTCTACATAATTAGGACTCATTAGGTGTATCTTCATATTCTCGCATTGTTTTATCTACTTCGGTCTCATAATGCTCCAAAAAATTGGGCTATTATTATTTGGAATAGATCGTGCGTGATTAAATGATGAAATCAGGATTTTTTTTAAAGAAATGTCTCCTGAACAGCCTAGTACGCATATTTCCATTATAGTTTCTGAGTTTGCAGCTCGTATTCATAATCAAGGAGTTGCAGACCTTTTTTTTTAAAAATTTAACTAATACTTAATTAAAATGGGCGTATCATGAAAAACATGCAAGGTCTAAGTGTTATGATAAGAAAAAATCGTCCTCTTCAACTTCTTAGCGATATCGAGAGAATTATTTTCGGAAGATATCCTAGTTATTTATGCAAAAGAAAATCGATTTTCAAATTTATTATTAAATTTGACCAAATTTATAAGTTTTGACAGCTCCCGAATCCCTATATTCTATGGTAAACTAGAAGCGAGGTCCAAACACAATTAAAAACTCCATTTGTATCGATCAAATAATATAAAAGAAGACTGACATGGAAATAGAAGCATCTTCTTCTACTTCAACTCTAGTAAGGAGGGCAATAGCTCCAACAACACCAGCAAAAACACTAATCGTACATGTCTAAATATTTTAATTCTGACTACACTGTTACACTGAACTTTATTCAAAGAGGGTTCTCGCTTGCTGCATTAACATTGACTAATGCAAGAATTCGGAATGATCAAGATAGTCACGTACATGTAACATGTAATTATATGACACTTTAAGATCAGTCAAAAAAAGTTTAACTGATCTCTAAAGCTTTCGAAATTTCTTGCACACACAATGCCACATCACTCATCATGTTTCCTTATTTTCCTATAATACCATAAATCAATAAAAAAATCAGGGTTTTCTTGTATATCAATAAATACCTCTTGCGAGTCCTTTTCCACATAAATTATTTGGTCATTTGCAATGTACCATCATCGAGTTCTGTCCAGCCGAGGTTTTTCTATGAATAGACAGATACAATTAAAAATAATTATCAAAAGAAAAAGGAAATATCAGAATCAATGATCATACAGCGTACTTGAGTCAACATATATGGTAAATAACTTTTCAATTTCTTGAAAAACTCTACACGAATAAATTCCTCGTAGCGTTTCAATTCCCCCATTTCTACTTTTTGCTCGGGCGAGTAGAGCCATTTATATGGGCGCGTTTTTGAAAATAATAATAATTTCTACTATGTAATAATTAATACTTTCAATGCTGTCAGATTATAATTGTTCAATGCTGAAATAGCAATATTATCCACGATATGACTATACATTCTTGAATAAGTTTCGTTTAGTTGAGGAATCACATTTTTATTTGATTAGAGATCAATCCATTTTTCGACAATTTAATCAATGAATATAAATCAATTAAATATTCATACAATAATCGACTTCTCTTATTACGCGCGTTCAGTAGATGTCTATACGATCGTGACCTGCTGTATACCAGGCGTATCTAATACCAGCACGGGAAAGATCCTAATTCATCCCTCTCCAAACGTCGCATTTCCTCAGTGAATTTTGTTCCACAAACAACTCCAAAGCGTTCCTTTTCCAATAGCTGTTTGAATTCCGCATCCGTTAGTTTAATCCTTAACTTGAAATGTTTTTTATCTTCTTCGGATGTACAGATGTACGGGAAATGAGGGCATTTATATGACGGTTATTATTAAGAATGAATCTTTTAGATGCTTTCTTCAGAAATTCCTCTAATTGATCTTTCAAGTTTACCAACAGGGTTTGCATGTTTTTGAGATGTGCCAGCGTTGAATGATCAGTTATAACCAAGAATTTTTGTCCACGTAATTGCCCAAATTATTACAATTCAGTAATACTATAATTTTGCTCGCGTTTGTTTAGAGTTCTACTTGCGTAAACAATAAATACCAGATTTATCAGTAACTTATTCAATAGATTCACGAGATATTATAAAATGAATTTTTTATCATCAGAAATTAAATTACATCTCACTCTATTAGCGGTTTGCCTTTCTTGATTATTCATTACTCGTTTAGGAAATGCTTTTAAAGATGCCTTGCTCTTTTCAGTGAGAGAGAGCATTCTGCACATCCAATAGCGTTGCTTCCTCCATTGCCCGATCCTCAATTAGTGCTAGTCAACTGTGAGGTAGGAAGCGTTGACCCGGTAGTGTGGATCCTTCTTTATCGTCATATGCTTGAATGTAGATGGATATCAAAGCGAAGTAAATAATATAAATATTCTCGCCGTTGACCAATCGATACATCATTCAAAAAACTCCCATGCAACAACAAAACGGAAAAACGATTACCTTGTACTGCTTAATGATTTTCTCAAGCTTCATTATGACCATAGGTAACAAAATGCATTATTAATTGCTTTACATTTGAACGCCATATACTAAATTCTTCGAAGCAGTTGTGAGGAATTGATTGGAAGCACATTGATGCCATCTATTCCATAGGGGACAGATGACGAGAGACGAGGAATATCGTAGCATTTGTGACTTTGAACGAAAGTTTTAGCCATATTACCTCTTTGGTTCATTAGTATGGTGCATAACATTTAAATACAAAATTTAATCCGTGAATATGATAGAATAGCGATAGGCTTTTCTTAACATTATCGCTTTTTGATGAATTTCTAGATGTTACTGGTGAATTTCATATCTGGCGTTATGGCAAAAAATTATTATTTTTATAACAATCCTTTACAAAATCATATATATACGTGTATAATGAATTTTCTTGTTATCTAGATTCAATTTACTCGAAGTATCTGCTATTATGCGATTAAATTGTATTATTCACTATTTTTGGTTTTTGATATTCATTCATCGTTTTACTTCACCAGTTTCTGGATCTTGCCAAGTCCTTGCTGGTCTATTAATTAACGTTAGGATCACAATACATCAATTTCAAAATTTAGACCCTTGTCTTTTAACTAAATAAATATACAACACGTTACTTTATAATCTCCGACACGACAAATCGCTTCAATGCACTCAATGGTCGACACGCCTCAATTCTTACCACATCGCCTAACGAGCAATCTTCGCTCTCGTCATGTGCTAGGAAATTTTTGTGGCATGTGACTATCTAGTATTTTAATGAATTCAATAAGTGTAATAAAGAATATGAATATTGATATATTACTTTATTGTTTTCCTTTACATACTTTATGTACCCTAGGATGCATTCTTTGTGAGGCAACGCGTACTTTTGCTGTTTTTCGCATTGCCGTGCCTACTACTACTCCCACCAAAGTCTGACGCATTTTGTTATTTTGTTTTGTCTATATATTTGAAATAGATATTGAATCAACTGGATGAGATCGTCGCAAATTGTCGACAAAAAATCCATTGATCAGAAAGTGACATCACCCAATCAAACATCGACAACGCATTCATTCATTCCCAAATATTGAATGATGGAAAAACGTGTAGAGAAAATGTTTAGACCGTGTTTTCTTTCGACACCCTCTTGCTTACCTTCCATCCAAATCCATCAACACAAGAATTACTCGTGAATAATCTAATTGAATTATTGACAATTAAAAAGAAAAAAATGCGGTTATCAATACTTTCTGTTTGGGGTTTTTTACTATTAATCTCGGTTAACCTTATATGTATATCGAGTGCCTCAACGGACTATTACTCGATACTTGGTGTGTCTCGATCCGCGACTACAAAAGAAATCAAAAAACGATATAAGGTGCTAGCAAAGAAATATCACCCGGATAAAAATCCTGATGATAAAGAGGTTGAAGAGAAGTTTGTGAAAATATCTCATGGTAATTTTCGATAGCCTGATATTTAATTTCGATACATTAAAATGATTTACGATTAACCAAGTGATTATTATATGCTATTGCTACGAATATTTTGTTCATAGCATATGAAGTTTTGGTAGACGATGAAAAGCGCGATATATATGATCGATACGGTGAAGAAGGATTGAAAGGGGAAAACCAGCCATTCCATAATCCATTTGATATATTCGCACAGTTTTTTGGTGGTTCAGGACATTTTGGTAATTTAGATAACGATAAAAATAAATTCCTTCTTTGCTATATTTTATAAATAATCATTAAAAAAATCAACTAACAAATAAGGTCACCAAAAGACTGAACGGAGAGGGCCAAATATGGCAGTAGATCTGGAAGTCGATCTTAAAGAATTATATCTGGGCACGAAATTTGATGTCGACGTGTCAAAACAAGTTATCTGTGAACATTGTGGCGGGTCGGGCGCAAAAAACCCAGATGACGTTGTTAAATGTAGCGCGTGTGATGGTCGTGGTGCGAAGTATGTAAAACAAGTTATGGGCTCGAATATATTTCAGATACAAACTACGTAAGAATCCTTTCTTATATTTATTTAACCTGAGTTTACGCGAATTTTTAATTCAATTTATTTTTCAATCAACAAAGATGTGATGTATGTGGTGGTAAAGGTAAAATCGTGAAAACAAAATGTCCGCATTGTCAAGGGAAAAAAGTCCGAAGAGGAAGCGAACAATTGACAGTGAATATTGAAAAGGGAATGGCAGAAGGAGAACAAATTGTAAGAATTTTTTTGACATCATTTTAAATTTTAATCATTCATTTTTAATAATCGAACAAAATAAATCACAAAGATATTCGAGAAAGAAGGAGATGAATCACCCGATATAATACCAGGAAATATTGTATTAACTTTAAAAACAATACCGCATCCGGCATTTACGCGGAAGGGAGATAATTTGTATACTAAAGAAACCGTTACATTATTAGAGGTATTCATTTTATTATTCTTCATGGGGAAACTCATATGATTTAATAAATAATAACGTGATCCAAATAAAAAAAAGGCGTTAACAGGATTCGAAATAAATATTACACATCTCGATGACCGAACTGTCACAATACGGCGAGATAAAGTGACATCACCCGGGTTCGTCGAGGTGATTACCGGGGAAGGAATGCCGCGGCACAAGTCAAAAAATCAGTATGGAAATTTGTATGTCGAGTTTACGGTGTCGTTTCCTACGTTTTTGGATGAGGAGGTTAAAACGGGTAATTTTCTTATTTTGTCTTTTTTTAGCCTGCTATTATATTATATTAATTATGTTTGGGTCTTTAATTGTTAGGGTTAAAAAAATTATTTTTAAAACAAGATACGGCGTCTACAGATACGGGGTCTACAGATGCGGGAAGGCATTACGAACTATAATAAATACTTGTAATGTTAATAATTACATTGCGTTTCATTGAAAATTCCAGTCGAAATCGATCGATGGCAAGCATTTATTGATTTTCTCGGACGATTAAATAAATAATTAACAATATACGCAACTTAAAGATACTATAAACATAGAGATGATAAAATGTTCAGGAAAAAGGTAATAGCATGCATGCATAAATACGCACACGAAAACATTCTAACGGAAGACACAATTTCTAGCTTAAGACTGACGAACTAGAGATAGGCAAACATTTCATGAAAATAAATAATGTTTTAATCCTCTCGAAAGGTACATTATGACATGATGCATACTATCGTTCATGTGATTTACGAAAGACCATGATTGTGTAAAATGTTGTGATTATCGTAACTTGTAAGGTACATGCGGCTTATTATATACCTCGGATGTTGATATCCACAATTCAGTATTTAATGTTAACAGATTAGAAACAATATCCAAGTACAATTCGACAAGATAAAGAAGAGAATCACACAAAAGTATACAATAAAGAATATCCTTTTTTTAAAACAACCTACTTCCGAGTCGGCTAAGCGCCGGTAACGTGACATCGAGTATACTTAACTACCCAATTTTATAAGCACTACTATTTAAATTGCAAAAATTTATCAAATTATTAAAAATTAATTGTTTAATCTGAGTCAGTTTCACTGATCATATCATTGTCCATTTCCTCGGCTGATTCATTTGTTTGTTCTATAATTTCTCTATACTCTACTTCGTTCGGTTCTTCAATTTCGGGCATCATTCAGGAAATAAAAATTTTATATAGTAAAATGACATTATTGTACTCATAATAACGATAAAAAAGTGAACGAGTTAATAAATATTAGTACCAGCATTGAAGCAAAGGAAATCGTAATGATGGATAATAATTCAAATGGCCATGAATAATAATCTATCGATAACATTCAATTTATCGAAAGATAGCAAATGATCCGGTCATTGTTCATCACAGATACAAATTTTAAATTACAAAAAATGCCCGGAAATAAATACCACCTTATTTTTTGGACCCTAATTATGTCGATTGAGTAGTGCTTATTCACGGTAATGCATTTTTATTCTTTTAGAAATGCTTGAATAGGATAAATCAACAAATTAGAATTGTCGATGCTAAGCCTGATTAGAATAAGGTTTCTTGATTGGAGAATCAATTTTTAAATGACCATCAAGAGAATGATACACCCCCCCCTCTCCCGCTATAACGGATCTGTCGGGCTTAGATCTTCGCTATAATGTTATTAACAAAAATAACAGTATAAAATTCCGTTCTGAGGCATTGTAGGGGATGGAGTATATTTTGATACTAAACAGGATTTAATTGAACAAATGGACGCAAAGTTCTAATCAGCGTCGAAATTTATTATTCATGATTTATCTAAACAGACAAAATAAAATACACGCACAAATAAATTACTAATAACCCAAAAGCTATATTAAATCAAATCTAGCTCCTTTTTCCATTTTCTTTTTCATAGAATAAAGCTTTTTATAGCATGCACCGGGAGTTCTCTTATTATGTAAATACATGGCAATAGAACGATAGTCCATATAATGGCGTCTTAAAGCAAACAATCTTCGTACTTCCAAATTGGTCCATAATGACTGTCTACGTAACGGCTCTCGATATTTATGAAATCGAGGATCCTGATATAACTTTGAACGCAGAGAAACATAAGTACGATTAGTTATTTTCTGACAGATCAAATCCCAATTTTTCCCATATGTGTCAAGCAGTTTCTCAAAGTACGTATTTTCGTCGGATGACCATTTCTTAAAAGTGCGTCGCCGTTTCCATAATGATAGCCCGTGAATTTTTGAGTTTACTTTAAAGGTTGACCGGATATCTGGGTATTTTTGCATGTAATAAGCAATTTTTGGGAACTTCTCCAGATGAGTTTCTACGTACGCTTGGACAACTATATCTTTTTTGCCGGCTAGTTTGCCGATATCTTGCCAATCGACATCTTTTTCCTTTTCTACATATTCGTTGATTTTGTCTATCATTTTTTTAGGCCATGGTGGTACTCGTATGAATTTTTTTAATTTCTGCCTGTGAATCTGAATGAATTTTAGTGCACAACTTTCGGCAGATTTTCGCATAAAATGTTCCTTGATTATTTCCCAATTGAATCCATATTCATCTACTAATCTCAATAATAGAAAAGATTCTGTCTTAGTCCAGACTGGTTTCTTGTTTGTTATCGAAAGTGTTCGACAAAGGTAAAGTAATTGACATTGATTTGGCGTTCTTCGTTTCATGTTCTGTGAAATTATCTCCCAATCTAATCCCTCAGAACGAGTTAGAGAAAGTAATTTATCTATCTCTTCTTCAGTCCAAGCAGATTGTCGTCCTTTTAACCGTATACTTTCCTTGAACAATAATGATTCTGAATTATTATTATTAATTAATGAATCGAAAGGACCCAACAAAAAATTTTTAATTTCAAACGGTTTTCTCCACCAAAGTCCTTTTAGAATTTCTTTCCAATTTTCGCCATATTTTTCAAACTGAACTTGAATAGTTTTCTTTTCTGTATCTGTCCAGTCTGTAGTATTGTTGGTTACAGGTAAATCTTTTAATAATTTTTTGATAGACAAAGACTTGGTATTATCATTGAACTTTCTCCAGGGCATATATTTTTCTATTTTCTTCCAATTAGTTCCATATCTTCCTATAAGATATTCGAGTAATTCAATTTCATTTGTAGTCCAGGACAGAAAATTTTCATTTTTGTTCAATTGATTCACCGCCTGAGCATTAGAAAAACATGAGCCGAACCATTTCACAATTAATAGCTTCCAGTCTTCTTCAATTTTTGTGCCCTCTTTAAATTTTTCATAGTCCAAGATTTTATACAATTTCATGACATTCAACCTTAGGATATCTTGACATCGTTCCTTTTCCAACCAAAAAAAATATCTAGTGATTTCTTTACTATCAAAACCAATGATTTTAACTACATCAAAAAGATCTTCAATTACTGCATCTGTCCAGGGAAAACGACTTGTCAATTGAAATAAAGAACGATATTCTCTTGCGGCAGGCAATAGATAATAATTATCCTGAATAAAACTTGCAACTGCCGGGATTGACCTCCCAGGAATATTTTCTGCTATAATTTCCGGATTATTACCATATTGATCAATAAGATTATTAAGCATCTTTATCTCTTGCTCGGTCCATCGCTTTGCATGACGCGACGGATCTTGTTGCATTGCGGAAAACATCATCCAACTTCTATACGCTTTTGCTGGAATTGCACATAAACTCCTACTCGGAAATTTGGTATGAATCATTTTCCATCTTCGACCATACTTTGAAATCAATCGATTTAATTGTTCAATTTCTGCAATAGTCCATTTCCTGGATTTTTTGTTGTTCATAATCACCGGTTCAGCCGAGTCAAACGTATCGAAACGAGTTACTTCTCCGGCCTCTTTTGCCTTCCTCTGGTGTATTTCATTGTACTTTTGCTTGCAAGCGAGTGGTGTCCTGCCCAACTGCATACTCGAAATTTTTCTCCAATTTTTTAAGTGTTTCTCCACGAGGATTTCTAGAATTTTTTCCTCAAATGAAGCCCAAGGGTCATTTCGTCGGTATTGTGGTGGATTTTCGAGCAACTTTTGCGGGGTTATCATAGGATTCATTTTTCCAAGTGTGGTTATGATATTATCGTTATTGACTAATGAGGTAGTATTGTTGTTTATTAGATTTGATGAGGAAGATGATGATAATTTTGCACCATCTTTTTTGGGAGACTGAGGACTTTTGGAAGAGCTACGACGGGTAAAAAATGATATCGCTGTTGATTTATTACTGCTGCTGCTTTTTATGAGGCAAAACTTTATAGAAATATCAGCGCATGTATGATGCAAAGGTCTGAGAAGCATGAGAGTTGAAGTGGAGTGTATGTTATCATAAGTACCTAAATAATGCTCGAGACGTAGTAATCTGTCTCACGTGAATTTTTCTTTTTTTTTCTTGAAAACTATGATACATTGATGGATTATTAGATTAATAGAATTTCAATAATCATGGTAAATTTAGTTTGCGAAAAATTTTCCAGAAGATTCAAAAAATAATATTTCAACTTACAATTGACTTGAATGCATTTATTTATTAGATTATATAGAATAATAAATAATACAGATTACAACACATTCGAATCAAGTGATATAATGTAGTAACATTAGAAGGAATAATGTAGTAATAGTAACGTATAGTGAGTATGTATACGTAATATTAATGGTAATAAATCTAGATGTAAATCGTGTAACTAAATCTATTAAGATTCAAATTCTATTAAAATTCTATATCTTAAGCCCCATTTCAACCACTTCAGCCAACCAAATTCATATTTCAATTATTGACATCTAATTCAACCCATCATCATCATCATCATCATCATCATCGGTATCATCCCCCGACATTCTATTATCGAAAACACCACGTCTATTCTCCTCATCAGCCTCAAACAAATTATTATCAAAATCTTCGCCACCATTTTCAATTCCTTCACCACCAATCAAACTCAAGACCACCGGCAACAACACTAATCCATGCAAAGCACCGGAAATCACCATCGCGACATACATACGGAAATAATAAACTTCGAAAATTTTGCTTCGTGTAAACGCCAACACTAAAATTCCAAAGAACTTTGTCAATGTGATTCCGGAAAACACTGAACTTCCAACGTCGACAATAGCTCGATTAGCGCGTTCGCCTCTATCGTCCCCGTATCCACCAATTACAAACGCGCGTGCAATATGAACACAGAATTCCACACCGATTCCAATGCAAATCACCAAATTTACGAGGCTGACTGCATTCAAGGAGACATTCCATAACGCCATCACGCCCAATAAATTCACGACAATCATCATTACATGAAGCATTACCAATAGTCCAGTCCAGAAACTTCCCAACAATGCAGCGGTCACGAGTAATATCGAAAAGAATGCCAATGTTAAAGTCTCAGCTGTTAATTTCACTATATGAGCGTATTGTTCGAAAAATATGTAGAATACAGAGTATGGGAAAACTTTGATTCCTTCATTACGTGATTGAATCATATCACTGATCCGATGCGCTGAATCATAAGCAGCAATATAGTCTCGTTGGCTCTTAAGTGGTGTATGAAACGTGCGGAAATGACTCGCGGTAATTGTTGCATTTTTTTGATCTATTTTAATAGCATCACCATACGCTGCTTTTCCAGCCAAGGGACACAACTCATCAGGCGAGGCCTGAAGCCAAAGTTTCAGATATGAAATGAATTCTTCGTCTTCGGGTAATCCATCCATTGTAATATTCCATTTGGGATTTCTATCCTCGAAACATACTTTACATTCGTCTTCGTCATCAAACGGAGTACATAATTCGGTTTTTCCGTTACTTTTCTTTATCCGACAACATTGATCAAGTGTTGGATTTAACCAATGAAAGAAATCATCGATCCATACAGCTGTTGGTTCCCCAACGTATGATACTTTAGGTCGTTTTCGCTCCTGTTCTAGCACATTTGCTAGTGATAAAGGTGAGCAGGTACTGAATCGACCACATAATGATTGTTGTCCCGAACGAGTGGTGACATTTACATCGGTGGCTACAAAATAAACTGGTGGTCCTACGCGGAAATAGTCATCCAGTGCATTGAAATAGTCTATCAAGTATGAATCACTTGGAAGGGCAATCCGTTGATCTTTGATAAACAAATGTTATAATATTAATTAATGTTCTCACCAAAATATTAGATGCTCGATTTCAAATTGAAATCCAATATACTTCCTAAATGTAGCGTTTTTTTTTTCAATTTAATGAGCAATAAAACAAAAGCATCGGATTTCACATAAAACTCACCTAAACCTAATTCAACTTTCGGTACGAGTCCCAAAGAGAACATGAAAACACCCAAGAAAATTGTAATCACCACAAATTTAACTTTTTTATTCAACAAAACAGGCGCATAATACTTTCGCGTCCATCTTTGCAAAATTCCCTCACGATGAGTTCGTTGTGGTGCTTCTTTAATTCTAACACACGAGAAACAATCAATTCGATCTTCCTCTTGCCGCTTAGCATCCAATGCCAAAAATGCCACAAACGCAGTAATCTGCAACAAAAAATCTACCCACACCGCCAACGCCGCATATAATGCAAAATTCTTTACAGCCGGCATTGTGACAATTCCACCTAGACCGAACGCGATTGTTTCACTTAGTGCACTAAGTAATATACTTGGTCCCATCCTACCTAATGTTTTGGCGATACGTTCTTCGACAGATTTGTTGCTTGATCTTATAGTGAGCCGTTCAAATTCATGATTTAATATAAAAATATTGTCGACGCCTACAGCAAGTACCAAAAACGGAATCACTTCGGCGATAATTAGTGTGACTTTTATACCTAAAAAGGAAAAAATGCCAACTGATGTCGAAACAGAGGCTAACACTATGAGAATCCCGGCAATGCCTAGTGTGAATTTAGAGTCGATTATTGTGCGTGGAAGTGAAGTAAGCTGTCCTAATGCGATTGACGCGTAAAAGAACATGACTAGATATGAGATAGCTATCGTATATATGTCTGTGTTTGTCGATTTGTTCAATTCTATTTCGAGGGAACTCTGAAATTTTATTTGAATTTAAATATTTTATAATAAAAATTTAAAAACTTTTCGCAAAACATTTAAAATTACCTCGGTCGAAAAACTGATTTTCAACTGCGACACGTCAATATTTTTATTATCCCCTTTGATTATTTTATATAAGTATTCTCGAAGATCGGCTTCCCATTCTTGAGCTTTGGCTATTTTTTCTTTTTCGATATAATTATTTAGAACATAAGTAATAACCATTGCTTTCGCATCGAGATAATTTTCATCTTCAAATCCGCCTAAAATCATATCGGGTTTTAATGGTTGTTGGAAATCCGGTAGACAAAATATAGGCTGAGCAGCACAATTCTCTAAATGTTCTTTCCAAGTATCTTCATCTAACTCATCAATATCCGAGTTCCAATACCCAGCGACAGATTGTACAATACAAGCATCTCCGTTCGGATGAAAACAAAGATCCTGCAATTTGTAATTATTTTTCGAGGATTTCAAATTACGAATTTCTTGTTCCATAATAAACAGGGTCTTCAATGTTTTATAACTGACGACACTTTGATCAGGGTTGGAACTAGTGATGAATATTTGTTGCGTACGATAAAATGGACCGAAATTCTTGTCAAAAAATTCTTTTTGTAGTGCTGATTCGGAATTTGGCGCAACCCATAATCTTACCGGATCCGTTTCGATGGCAAATTGTGACCAACCAAGTGACGCGACACAAACGATTAATGTGCATGTCATTATAGTTTTCCATGGATTCTTCGCGCAGATGTATCCTAGTTGATAGAAATAGTCTTGTAAAAGTGCATTGAGCCAATAGCTTTTATTTGTTTGTTCATTTTCAACCTCATTGACAGCCAAAGGTTCGAATCCAGTTCTATCCACGTTATTATCTCCATATCGTTTCAATGCATAAGCGCCAACAATTACTAAAACATAAATAATAATCAAGCTAAACGATAAACAACTAAGTGATCCAATTCGACAAGGGGCCTTTTCGCTTGGAGTTGGATCCAATACAGGACAAACAGGCTGACAATCGACACATGAGCATCTATAATTAATATCGGTATCATTACATCGTTTCGCCGGTTCATCAAATGCTGTCATTTCCCCAGTCGGATCCACCAACGGAAAATTAATCTGAAATGGTGAGCCGATCGGCGGTCTCTCCTGACCCAAATAAACAAAAAAATCATGGTAATTTTTTGCACCCCCGCCAATAAAATCCATCACGTATCCATTCGTCGCCGTGAACTTTATATCTTTACACGAATCATAGAACCCAGTGCCTTGATTCGCTCCCACAAAAAAATCCACACTCGTCACAATTTTTTGACCGGTTCTCGAGATGCCGGTTGACGTGACGTTGACAAATGTCGATTGACTCGGTGAACAAGTAAACTCACAGAAGAAATTTAGGAAGTTCTTCCAACACGCTGGACACGAACTTATTAGTGTCTCTGCTTGTTTTGTACTCTCGTGGAGCGTGTTAAGCTGATCGGCGTCACAACATGTTAGCGATTTGCCGAATTTTTCGCCGCATACTGAGACAAGTTGTTCGCGTAGCTCTGTATCAGGCTGAATTCACAGAAATAAATTTGTGAATTTCAAATAAAGAAACCCGAAAAGAGTAAAGAATGTAGTGATCAATTAATCAATCGGAAGAATCATTTTTTCAGCAAAATTCCATATTAATTTTCATTATTATTATTACATAATCGAACACTTTTCGAAACATTATTCTATTTTTCGATTTGCAATTGACTATTTTTAGTTTTTTTATCTTTTCGTATGATCGTTATTTTCTATTCCCTTTCCCTCATATTAACAACAAAAATATCCAACTCAAATCTCATACCTTTACCGCCGGTTCATTAAACGGACAATTCAAACTTTTACCAAACATAGTTTTTGGACCACACTCTCCACGCATAACACAATATCCGGGCTTGTGAACTGTAGTAATAGCATCAATCTCGTCCAGTGACCAAGCGTTCTCAACAAAGGTTGTCAACAGAATCACAATTACACATAAAAGTCCCATGGTATTACGCCGAGACAGGACTCTGACCTCCTTCATATTGTAGGAAACTATTTTCTTCTACAAGGAGTATACTTTTTTTATAATGCAAACACTATGAAATGTCGTTCCCCTCGAGAACCAGAATCCAATAACGTTATTATTATAATACGCTCCAAAATTTAGATTTACTCCGCCTCCGAGGAGTTTCATTGAATGATGATGATGACAAAGCGGATTAATTATATATATAATTTTAATAATAGTATAGTACATCAACAAAATGTCGTGCGTTTCCCACGAACAAAGCCAAACATAGTACTGATCGATTTTTGTCGCACCTTTTTCGCGTACTCCTTACATACCGCCTTTTTTTTTTTGCTAACAGCCATAATCGTAATTAATTATAGCATAAAATAATAGACCGAAAAAACAACCGTGTACAGATACATATAAATGGTACAAGTAAATGATAATTATCGGCGTATTTTGGGATTCTTTGTGATTATTCTTTTCATGTATAAACCTGATCACATCCTCATCCAGCATACAAGTATATAGATAAGAATAAAAAAGGAATGAGGGAAAGGCTATCCAATTTCCATCATGATGATAATATAAAATACCAATACCACGTGCAAATATAAAAACTTTCAAATATTTTCAAAATACTTTCTCGCTTCAATATACCCCTGCAAATCACCAACATCAATCCTCCCCTCCACGCGCACCGCATAAAATGTTTCTAATCCGCCATTGATGCCCCACGCTAACACTTTACCAATTGCATCACGTTTATCTAGCGGATCTCCGCGTTGCTCAGATTCTTGTAGGAATACACGTAACAGACCGACCATTTCTCTTCGAAAAAAGTAAAAGCATGGACACGCGTTACGCGAAATTGTTTTCTCGGGCTGAGGTTTTTCATAGAATTCAAGAACTTTTAGTAGTAAAAGATCATTATCGTCATCGGCATCATCGTCATTATTATTATCTTTTTGTTCGTTTAGGTCGCTCTCTTCCTCCTCCATCTCTACTTCTTCCATCTCTTCTTCAAGTGATAATATTCCAAATTTACTAACTTCTTCGTCAGACACGTGATGAGTGGTAACCAAACTCGCATCATACTCCTTCTTACACTTTTTCTCATAAACGCGCCACAACTTCTCAAAAGGAAACCCCTTTTGAAAAAGAGTATCTCCGGCAATAATACACAAATCTACGTTTTCCTTTGACCACGTGTCCTTGAACCACCCAAAATGTTTAACGGCAAAGGCAACATCACCTACAGCCCCAACACGTGTTTCATTAGTTTCGGTTCCATCACTGACAATATTCTGCGTCGGGACTCCTTGTTCTTGCGCCCAAGACACAAATTGCGGATAGTATAGTGCATTGGTTACAATGAAGACTGCGGTTGCAATTTCTATTTTTGCTTCACGAAAAATGTTTAGCCAATATGTGAGAAGAGCGTCGTTATTTGGGCCTAGAGGAAGAAGTGGTTTTGGTGTGTTGAGTCGATTTTTGAATTGTTGCGTGGGATCAGCGAGTATGTCGCGTTGGAGGCGTGTGCCGTAGCCAGCAGCTAGAATTAATATTTTAAGTGGCATTGTAAAACGGATTATATTCACAAGTCTTTTACCACAATATGACGTTCGTGTTATTTATATATTGATTAATTTTGGGACTAAATACATCGTTAGAATTAAATCGAATTCCTATGCAAAAGTTTCTTCGAACAAAAACGTGGTCTGTAGAAGTGTCGTAATTACAAGGTTCCACGACATCCTGTCAATCTGCACGTGGCAAGTTCGCCTTTTTTTTACGATTATTCATTCCAAATCTAGCTACCATATATTTTTTAATCGTACTTGCCTTAAAGAACAAGAATGACTTCGGTAACAAGTAGAACCGCACCACAAACCACAAATAACAGCACCACACCACAAACCTCAAAAATGGTAACTTCACCAACTAAAACGAAAACCATTTCTACAGCAAGCAATACTGCCGAAGCTAAAGAGCAAATAGGTGCAGTACATGGGTTTTTTATAGGTGGTGCGGCTGCTTGTGCTGCTGTCACTTTTTCAAATCCTTGGGAGGTTAGTTGACGAAGTGAAATACAAGATGCTTTAACTGATAATGAAGTAAAAGTGAATAAATTAAAATGTTTAAATGAGATAATGATAAATCGAGGGGAGAAAAGGAGAGGAGAATTAAATATATTTTGATAAAGATCCTTTACAATCATATTATATTATTTGTCGTTGACTTGATAGTTGGTTAAAACACGTCTTCAACTACAAGGAGAACTGGCACGGGCTTCGGCGAATTCACCGAAACCGTACAAAAATATATTTCAAGCATTCTATATAATTTCTAGATATGAGGGATTACGAGGAGTACAGCAGGGTTTAGGTAAAATTTTTTTCGTTTCCAATACTGCCGATTTTTTGTTTTGTGATGCATTATTAAAAAAGTGACAATCGATAAATCTAATTTCCACTTTGATTATCATTTGTTTAGGCCCCGCATACACGTATCAACTGGTAATGAACGGATTACGTCTTGGCCTATACGATCCAATACGTAGCTCATTAACCAGCGCATTCAACGCCTCGAACACTTCGATGTTAGTAAGCATGACATCAGCAGGTATATCAGGAGTAGTAGGTGCCGCGATCGGTTCACCACTCTATCTCGTAAAAACACGCATGCAATCATGTTCATCACAATTCGCTGTCGGCCATCAACACAGATATCGAAACATATTTCACGCGCTAAACTCAATATGGAAAGAAGGTGGCCTGCGAGGTCTGTATCGTGGAGCTGCTGCTTCAATGCTTCGAACGGGGGTCGGCTCATCGGTTCAACTGTCAGGCTATTTCCTGGTGAAACGGTGGGCGATAGAAAAGACTGGGATGAGCGATAACGATATTCTGATTCATTCGTTCTCGAGTATGCTTACTGGTGTGTTTGTGTGTATTGCGATGAATCCGTTTGATGTGATCAGTACACGGATGTATAATCAGAAGGCAAATGAATTGGGAAAAGGATCGTAAGTTTGTTTTTTCCTTTGATTTTTTTTATTGATTATTTCCTTTGATTTTTTTATATTCGATATTTATTATATGACTAATTCATTTAATATTCTTGATGGATTGACAGATTATACAAAAATACATTTGATTGTTTTGCTAAGACTATTCGAACAGAGGGTCTGATGGGATTATATAAAGGATTTGGTGCACATTATCTAAGAATTGGGTATGTGATTAAAAATTCCAACATCACTATTCGTTAACTTAATTTTATTTACATATTAAATCTGTTTCCGTTTTTTATAGTCCGCATACAGTATTAATGTTAGTATTCTTGGAGCAATTTCGAGGGTTATACATCAAATACTGGAACAATGAATTAATAAAGTAATCGATCCGAAAGAAAGAATGCATAGAAAAAGATTCATAACATTATTATTAATTTTAATTTTTAAATTAATTAGACTAAATTTTTGATTTTGGATAGATTCTACATAATAGAACAAATAATAATGAAAGAATAGAGTTATAATGCTTTTATTATAGAAATTACAAAATTGCACATTTTAATGTATCTGGTCGATCATTACATCATAAACGCGAATATTGAATCTGTGTTCGGTTCCTGATCATAGATTTAGGTAGTTCCACAATTTTGTTTTTCCGGGCTGATCAAAAATTTGCGCATCCTTATTGGCTTGTGATCTCAAACCAAAATCAATATGACTCAATCATTTTGTATATAACGATAGATTATTAACTGGCATCTACCGCTGAATATTTCTATCTTTCCATCTTTTGTTGCAAAGTAAACCTCGGCGTATTTTATTTTTCACTTGTGCTCCAAATTTTCAACTTTTCGTTTCAACAACGTAGTTTTCCAGGTACTTACTTGACGTGTTCTCATATCTCCTTTTTACATCAGGAAAAGCCGGATTTCAACAAAAGGCATGAATCCTCTCTAAAACTTGCATTTATCCACAATTTCTACATTAATAATAGGCTTAATCCTTAAAGTAATAATAAATACCATTTTCACATCATAGTCTCCACCACTTTACAACATCAATCAACGAAAAAAATCCTCGTAAACACGAACTATTGATTTATCGTGACAACGGCCCAAGGACATTGGCGATGTCAGGGACAGGAGGTTGTCGTAGTAGTGCGCCAGAACAAACTTTTGAGAATGGTCACCACCAGCAATCATTGGGATTTTTTGCTTCACATAGTAATAGTAGTGTTGCTTCCGCCCCAATCACACCGACAAGTCCAATGATATGTTCGAATTCGCCGAAAGGCACAACTCTTCCTATAAACATTAATAATAATCATTCAAAGAGAGCGAATGTATATTATCCCTCCAATCGATATCACCAACATCATTCAAGCCCTTACTACCACCACCAACAGCAACATCACGCGTATAACAATCGAACGCCTGGTAGTAGTTATACTTCCATCGCCTCATCACCACCGATGTCACCTAGTTTAAGGTCAATGCGAAGAGGTTCGCTGGGTAGTCAGAATAGCGAGTTATTCGGAAGTCTGGTCGGAAGTTATGAGGTAATAAAGGGATTTTACCTCATTCAATTATTTCTAAATTTACATTTAATTGAGAGGCAAATATCAATTTATTAATAGGAATCTATACTGAATGGTCGTATGTCGACTGCTCCTTCTAAACCAATAACTTTTATTGCACAAATTGGTGTATTGGGACGAGGAAAATGTAAATCTTCACTAAAGTGTCCTCCACATGTTAACTTGGTATTTCCTGCCTATTTTTACAATTTGGAGGACGACGACAATCCAACGCCGTATGTAGGCAATGTCGACTTGGAGAATGGACTAATAGACGAAAGATTCAAAAAATTTCCCGGCGGATATCGTCTTCCACTAAAAGGCCAACTGCAAGTGGTGATAAAAAACCCAAACAAAACAGCTGTGAAATTTTTCCTCATACCCTACGATTTCTCGGATATTTCAGCCGGGCACAAAACATTTATACGACAAAAATCGTATTCATTATCACCATTCGAAGTAGAAGAATCATCGTCATCGTCATCGCCTCACGTGTCAAAACCAGTATTCCGATACGCGATTCACCTGCAATTCTGTTCGCCCGCCAAACGGAAACTCTATTTGTACAAATATATTCGTGTTGTTTTCGCGAATCGAGTACCGGATGGTAGTGAAAAGCTGAAGATTGTATGCGAGGGTCCTGGCGAGCCACGGTATGTCCCTATTGGATCGTATAATGGGTTATCGTTTATGTCTGACGAAGACGAAGATGGGGGTGAAGAGAATCGCGCGAGAAAGTTAAGACGAAAGCGAAAAAAATCAAAGGAGGATGATGAGCAATAGGATATGAGTTGGTGGAGGTTGGAAGAGAGTGAAGATTTTATGTTGATAGGGAAATTTGTTTGATATATCATCTTTAAGAGTGCGCAGTTTACATTTAGATGATGGTGAAATGTATTTTTTTTTTGTTTTCGTGTCTTAAATGCTTCATATTTGTGTAATGTAAAACGTTTATTTAAATTGACATTGGACTTTTTCTGTTTTATTCTTGTATTCCAAATTGTTATGCTATACTACACGAATTTAACCTCTAATGTTGGGGTATGTTATTACAAAGTGCAGTGTGCCATATGATATGGATCCAGGTGGATCCCGAATCCACATGAAATAGGATTTAATTTGTTTTGGGAAATCATTATTCTTTATTATTAATGTCTATTCAGTTGGTGATCAACACCAGCCAAGCTGTAATTCTATCAATAATAAAATAAATTAGTTTACATTAATGATTAAGATTGTTTGTTCTTTTCCTTCCACGATTTGTCGATTTTTGTATTTTCCGAAGATGATTGTTTCTTGTGATATCCATTTTTATTACTCAATCCCTTTTCCTTTTCTTTCATCTCAAAGTTCTTTTCCAATCGTCTTTTTTCCATCTGTTTAACAAATGCCTCTAAAGCAATGCCCAAAAACACACACGCAACAGCCACCCACTGCCCAAAACTCAATCGATGGTCAAACCAAAACACCGATAACAACATAGTGAATAATTTACGTGTCACAGTGACCGTCACCAAAAAAAACGACCCGAAAGTTTGCAACGAATAAAAAATGAAACATTGTCCTAACGCGCCGCATAACGAAAATAACATGATATCTTTGATCACGGCCGGATACTCTAAACAAAAGGCCACAGCGTTACCGAGTTCCAAGTTCCATGGAATCAGTAGCCATCCAAACATCAGTGTCCCGCTAAACAAATTCATGGACAACATCATTTGTTGTCCGGTTACTTTATACTTGTGGAATATTTGATCTTGTGTGGCATTCGTCACGCCATCCATTAACAGACTCACTGAGAGTAAGAGAATCCCGTATATTGAATTTGAGGATGCTCCGCGTTTCTTTTCCGAGACTGGTTGGAGTAACATGAATCCCGAGACACCAAGCGTGATCAAAAATACCACTACATATTTATAAAGTGGAAACTTTTTTCGATATAGTAAGAAGTTCATTAACATTACTGGCACGAGTTTACATGATTTTCCTAGAATCATTGTCGGATAGTCAATGTGTTTTAAACTTTGATAGCCGAATGGTGATCCGATCGTTTGAATAAACGCCACTTGGAGATATCGAAGTAAAAGATGTGGGTCCTTGAAATTATTTATTAGGATGTCTTTATTTCCGGTGCCGATTAAATGGAATAATGCTACAATCGACGCGGTGAATGATTGGAACATGTTTAGAAAGATAAAGTATCGAAAACGTTGTGGTTTCAGTGATGGGTCGTCATTATCGTTATTTGATATTTTGTTATATGGTGTCGTGGATACACGTTCTTGTAGTACTCCCCAGGTTAGAAAACACACGTATATACCCGTGATGCTAAATATAACTTTTATTAGTGACATTATTCTGATAAAAAGAAGGAAAAAAACTCGAAGTTCAAAATTCAACCCAAATTTGTCAATGTTTGGTTGGTTAGATAAAGAACATCCAAATGTTGTTACACTAATGATAATGTGCTGTTAATTCCCGAAAAAAACTCCACTTTAGAATAGTCAAAAATAAAAATCTAGATCTTTAAAAGACTTTGCAAAGCCAGTAAAGTAAATTTCTCTATCTGATGCGTAGCTCGCAAACTAAAAACTCATCTGCCTCTGAAACCTCGCCCTCATACACGTTTAATAACGTTTCCGAGAGGCATCAACCTCAACAACAACAGCCATCAATTTCATCTTCAAATAACAAAACTTCAGTTCATTCGCGTAGAAAAAGCTCTTTGGCTTTAGAAAAAGCCGAAAGTGGTGGTGTCAACGTCTATAATCCAGACAAGGACGATAACGACGAAAAAATGCATGTTATTAATACAAACGTTAGGAAAAAATGGATACGTGCCATTATATTGATTTTCTTTTTTGTTGTGATCCTATGGTTTCTTATACCGAAAGAGAGTCGACGGATACCGAATTTTTCTGAGTATCAAGGTATGGAATTGATGTATTATTTTTTTTTTTGATGGAAATCGAACAATAGGTCGGTTTAAATTGGCTTCGTGATTTGGGTTTCAATTGATTTTTTCTCGAAACATGGATTATTTCTAATTTCTAACAGATCAATTTTTTTTAAGATGATTCACTGCACGACTTTAAAGAATTATTTGAAGAGGACAGAGATCTTTTAGCTGACACCAAAAACCCTGCAGAGGCTTCAAATTCAGCATCTGGCTCTCCACTCACATCCTCTCATTGTACAGTACCACATCCAGGCCATCGACTAATTCAGTATACATTAATGATTGATGCTGGTTCAACTGGCTCCCGAATTCACATCTACCGATTTAACTATTGTAAAGCATCACCGGAACTCGAGGATGAAGTATTTGCACATACAGAACCCGGATTATCAGCATACGATGATCCATTTAAAGCCGCGGAAAGTTTGGATACTTTATTGAAAGTAGCACTACAAACTGTTCCGACACAATTATATAACTGTACACCGGTAGCCGTGAAAGCTACTGCCGGATTACGATTATTGGGAAAAGAGAAAAGTGAGAATATTTTGAAGGCTGTTAGAGAAAATTTGGAAAATAATTATCCGTTTCCGATAATTGAAAAGAATGGGGTTGTTATTATGGACGGAAAAGACGAAGGTAAGATTTTTTTATTATTTCTACTCTCAAAATTTTAATAATTAACGAGTTATAAATCATTTATACTAGGTGTTTACGCGTGGATCACAGTCAATTATTTATTGGATAGAATAGGCTCCGTTAAAAAACAACCAACGGTTGCTATCTTTGACCTTGGTGGAGGTTCAACTCAAATAGTATTTGAGCCTGATACAACCGATGGATTTGAAGTAGCACCCGGAGATCACAAATACGAATTAGAATTTGGCGGACACACTTATGTGCTCTATCAACACTCATATTTAGGGTACGGGTTAATGGAAGCGCGAAAAACAATGAAAAATTTCATGGCAAAATTATGGCAAAAAGCAGATACAAATGGTATCCCGGGATTACGCGCTGACGCCTTAGAACTAAATAATATGGCCGACGACAATCATATTCCACACCCATGTCTCCCGAAAAATTTCACCGACTTTTCGATCAATTCAACATTTATCGGAACAGGCGCAGGTTACGCACAATGTCGCGCAATCATCGAAAAAGTACTAAACAAAGAGAAAGAATGCCCTCTAACTCCATGCGCATTTGACGGCATCTATCAACCATCTATCCGAGAAACATTTTCACTCCACGATATCTACGCTTTCTCGTACTTTTATGACCGCGCAAGTCCACTTGGTATGCCGTCGGAATTCTCGTTACGCGAATTGAGTGACTTAGCGAATGAAGTGTGTTCTGGGGACCTGGAAAAATTTGCACATTTGCCTCAGGCGATTAAAGAACTTGAAAAGAATCCACATTATTGTATGGACTTGACGTTTATTTATGGGTTGTTGCATATTGGGTATGAGATTCCGTCAGAACGCGAGGTTAAGATTGCGAAAAAAATTAATGGAATTGAGACTGGATGGTGTCTTGGGGCTGCTATTGCTGTGTTAGATGCGAATTTGTGGTGTATAATATAAATTATACTTTTTTAGATTTATTTATTTAATGATTGAAATGTTGAAAGAACATGAAAAAAATTATTATTTTTAGAATAACTATTGGAATAGATGTTAGTAAACAAAACTTTAATTTTGTAGATAAATATAATAGAGCTTTACACTACTCTTTCAAAAATAATAATGATATTTTAATGTTCTATAACTTCTTAATTAAAATGTTAATAGAATTGACTTTCTATCCAATACTGCACCATAACGCCAATTTTTTATCGTAGATCTTAGATATAATAATCAATCTGACCAATCAGAAATTTTTTTTATAATATAATAGCATTAAGATAAATATCAGCCAATAAATTGTAAGCATGTGATCAAATGCATTAAATATTAGCCAATAAAATTGTGAGCATGTGATTAAATGCATTGTAATTGGTCAATTTTCCAGCACCAATTTTTTGTTTTATTATTAATTTTTTATAATTAAAACATATCGATATAAATATAAAAATCCAAAAAAAAATATGTTAAAATATGTATTGTTATTTGTATTTTGTATAAAAATAAAAAATTTTAATTAGTAAAATTGAAAACTTTTATATAAAGAGAAAAACCCAGATCATTATATATTTAAAATAAAATTCCTTTACAATGACTGGGCGCACCATATAAATTTTATAAATCCAGTTCAGATCAGTTCAATAGAATTTAGCGTTAGCATTTGGATTACGTTCAATATTTTGAATTGATTTATATAAAAAACGAATTCACCAATAAAAATTAATTGACTAATTAAAAATTTTTGCTAAAATTCCAAATTAAAATAGAAAATAAAATTACGCGAATGCTGAACATAATATGGTATAATAAAAGTGTTTATTGAAGCCTTATTCTTATTTGGTAAGAAAAAGTATCAAAATTTAAAAAAAAGATGTCCTCCTTATGGTTTTTCCCTACCGTCAAGGTTACATAGTAACAAATTACGGAACGATAATGGAATATAAGGTGGTATCTGAAAATCCAACCGAACTCTCAGAAAAAGCTCAAGGTTAAAAATCCAAGTTTTGTTCTGCGATTCGTCGACTGGAATTATACACCACCACAAAATGTGTGTGCTTCCATGTGTCGAGCTGTAGACCCTACACTTCCAACGAGTGAAAGCAAAGAATATACACCAAATCGATTGGATATTTTTGAAAATGGGTGGATGGGTTTTTATAGGTTTTTGATCGTGTTGAAAACTTTTTTTTTTTCTGATTGGCCAATAAAAATTTTTTAATTATCGTCGTTGAAATTTCTTGAAGATGACAACCTCAGAAGACTCGACTACTATTTTTGTTCAAGAAGTGGTGTTGGATAACCATAATATCAATGAGAATATCTCACCCAATAAAAATACTATCAAGGCTAATTCCGAACAAGAAGAGGAAGACGATGAACTTATACGCGAAAACCAATATGTCTTTATACAAATGCCAAGTGGAAACATTAAAGTTGTAAAATTACAAAAGGATACGTGAGTGTGTATTCCCGAAATCTTCTTGCCCATCGTTTTTGTCAAATATTATTTGCATTTATGTACACCTTTTCAATTTAAATTTGTCAGTACGGTATCACTTGGGAAATTCGGTACTTTTCACTCAAATGACATAATAGATCGTCATTTCGGTCACTCTTATGAAATCTATGAGGGTGATAAAGTAAAGGTTATTAAGAACATTGCTTATACCAAAGTTGGTGAGGAGAATTTAAATTAGATCTGCTACTACTATAATTATTTTGAATTCTTGGGTGTTTTATTTGCGTTTGATCGCGCAAATATTATCGATTGAATAATCAATGATGCTATCTAGAAGAGAAAAGATTTGTCGATTGATATTTTTTTATTTTTAATTTGGTTTTTTATTGAAGATGAGACGGACGCGAATAATCGTGACATTATGGATGATCCGTCAAAACAAAAATTATCATATACTGATATTGAGAACTTAAAGAAGGAAGGGATGGAGGGTCAGGTGTGTGTATAAGTGTATCCCAGTTAATTGTGCAAAATTAGATTTTTACTTCTACATATTTATATTAAGTAAATTTTTTTAAGGAAATAATAAAAAAAGTAGTGGAAAGTCATTCGTCATTCGAGCAAAAGACTGAATATTCAAAGGCAAAATATATTAAAAGAAAAGAAGCAAAGTAATTGATTAATGGCATTCATCTGTTTAATCGGCAACTTTGTTTTGAACATTAAAAAACGTTTTTATTTGTTTTTTTTTAAATCTAGATTCTCTAGAATTTTTACCCCGTTAAGACCTACACTTTATTCTGTATGGGAATACTTTTTTAGAAAAAATCCCGGAAAAATAAGGTAAATTTAAAGGATTTTTTTATTTTATCATTATTTTTGGAACTTATGTTGGTCGTTTTTTACTTATCATTTTCATTCTGTAAAAAAAATAATAGAGAAATGCGAATAGATACACTTTCACAAATTCTTAGTTTAACAAATGTCCATGCAAATATTAAGATTTTAGTGGTAGATGATACACAAGGTCTGGTAATATCGGGAGTGATGGAAAGACTTGGAGGTATTTTTATTTGAGCTTTGATTTCTTCGCTTATTTCATATCATTATTATATTAAGTGAAATATGATTAGGCCATGGAACCGTGCTTGGAATACACGATAATGAAAATCACAATTACGATATAGTTCGATATATGAACTTTTCGGCAAAGGTTAACGATTCGCTTAGAGTTCTCTCGTGGCAACAAGTTCTTGATAAAGATGATGAAGATGACGAAGAAAGTAATTATACTATTTTCTTTTTTATTGTTAAGAATCTAACTAATAAACCTTTATTTACGAAATTATGTAAATATAGTTTCTTTCGACGAGATAGACGAGACAACGCTATCCGAAAACGATCGAAAAGGATATCTTCGACGAAAAGCAGCGCACGATAAATTAAAAGAAACAAAACAATTATTGCTTAATGGTGAATTTGATGGGTGTGTATAAGTATTTCTCTTGTTACCATTCCCGTCATCCAAGTATTTGATTATTTCATTTTTTACGACTATTAATCTTACGTTTTGAATATATATAGTTTAATTATCGCTAGTCAATATCAACCAGAATCTATATTAGAAACTCTGGTGCAGTATGTTGCAGGATCGAGACCTATCGTTATTTACCATATCAATAAAGAGGTTGGTAGTTATTATGATGCAACAATATCGTAATACGAATAATAATAAAGTGATCTACTATTTTATCTATTACTTATTAAAGGTATTAGTGAATACATGTGTACAAATGCGACTGGCCAAACATTATTTAAATCCTCAAGTTACTGAAAGTTGGCTACGTGATTACCAGGCAAGTTTTTTTTTTATTATATTTCTCACCTGCCACTTACCAACTTAATGATCATGATCTGCCGATTATTAATTTTTATTATTGAAAAATAGGTATTACCTGGTAGGACACACCCAGAAATGTCAACGACCGGAGGTGGTGGATATATTCTGTCAACTATTCGAATTATAATAGATCAAAGTCTACCAAGTCCAAAACCATCATATATGAAATTGAATCATAGTGGTAGCAGCAGCAGTAGTAGCAATAATTTAATAGGATCATCGTCTTTTACAAATAATATCAATGACAATAATGAGGTGGAAGCGAATAATGTAAAGATAAAAAAAACAAACATAGATACTACTAACAATAATAGTAGTAATAACGTGATAATAGAAAAAAATATTAATAGCAAAAAGGGTGCCGGAAAACGACCTAGATTAGAATAGTAATAATTGTTACGAAATAAAAAAAAAATTCCATCATTATCATAAACACTTGTTTTTCTCTATCTGCTCCTATACCTATCAGTATTTTATCACTATATAGAATTAGCATACATGTAATATAGAGATTGAGGGCTTGAATTAGTACTCTGCCGACTCAGGTTAGCAACTCCGGAGTGAGTTACCACTTTAGGAAATATATGGGTAACAAAGAGAGGGATCATTTCCCTTTTTCACTGTGAATATGTATTGAATTCAGATTGTGAAAATTTGTAGCGATACTGTGAATATGTAGATGTTTTGCAATAATTACATCATAACGACAATTAAGGATTATTTAGGCTAATGTAAAAATGCACTGTTTTTAGGTGAGTTGCGTCGGTTATCTTTATAAATAACTTGAAATTCCGACTCATTTTCAACTTTACCTTGTTAAAAATGCGGGAAATTCACCAACTTCTCAAAGACGTTAAACTTCAACTGCACGAACTAAAAGACGTTCACGAATCAATTTCAAAACTCGCCGGAAAAGCCGACTTGGCACCGACTAGTCTTGAATTCGCGCAGAACCTTGATAAACATGATGATTTATCACATTTACGTCAAGAATTTCAGATACCCAAAGTTCGGGATGTTGTGTCGAAAGGAACAGGTCAGCAAACCATCAATTAATTAGATGAAAATTAAGTTGATTCATTCTACCAAAGATGTAATATATAATGCTGATGATTTTTGCTTTTTTCGAAAGTGCTCGAAAATGCAAACGATGATGCTGTCTATATCGCTAGCAATTCGATTGGACTGTTGTCGAAGCGTTCCCGAGAGTTAATTAATGAAGAGATTGACGTTTGGGCTACGCGGTAATTATTTAAAGAAACTCGTTGAAATTTAAAGGATTATTATTATGGATATTTAACAAAAAACTCAAATAATCATCTTTTCTGAAGCGGAGAACTTGGTTTTCACACACATCCTCATGATCGTCCATGGGATCGAATTGACGAAACTGTAATATCCAAATTAGCAACATTAATCGGTAACATTTTCATATTCATTTTTTTACCTCAAATTTCCATCATCTTTAATAAAAAATATACCTATTTCCATAGGTGCTAAGCCAGTTGAAGTTGCAGTAAAGGGTGATATCAAAACGAATTTAAGTAATCTTTTGACTACGTTCTATACTCCCACCAAGGACCGACACAAGATCTTGATAGAACACAAGGCATCTCCGACTGATATGGTAAGTGCATGCTAAGTAAACCTTTACGCTCAATATATTGCGGGGGGGGAGGATGCGGCAAATATTTACGATATATTAAGACCTTTTGTCTAATTATTCATAACAATCGATGCACAAACACACAAATGCAAACAGTTTTCTGTTGATTCTCAAATTAAATCTCACGGCTATGATCCTGCCGAGAGCATACTAAAAGTTGAATCAACATCAGGTCGAGTCACTACCGAAAATCCGGATATTCTGAACTTGATAAATAAAGAGGGTGATACGATTTCAGTCGTGTTTTTGGGCGCTGTGAATTATTACACTGGACAATTGTTTCATCTGGAAAAGATTACTAAAGCGGCACACAAAAAGGTACAATAAAAATTGAATTACTCTGATAAAAAATTTGTCTTTTTTCATTGCTATTAACTGATAATTTTTATTACAAAGGGTTGCGTTGTCATATTGGATCTTGCGCATGCCATCGGAAACATTGTATTAAAACTCCACGATTGGAAAATTGATTGTGCAACTTGGAGCTCTGAAAAATATCTTAATGCTGGTCCGGGCTCAGTCAGCGGTATATTTATTCACGAAAAATATGCTCGTGACTTTGAACATTCAAGGTAAAAACAATTACATTACCGATTGCTTCTTTTGTTTATGAAACATCTCTTATAAAATTTTTTTCGTGCATAGGTTTGCCGCTTTATGGGGATACAAAAAAGAGACACGACTAAAAATGGAAGAACGTTAGTTTGTTAGATAATAAATAATCAATTTTCATAAACTAATAATTTATATTAATTATTTCATTTGGATCAAATTTAACTTAGCTTTCGACCAACCATCAGCTCTCTATGTAGCTTCATTATTAGGTAGTTTAGAGGTGTTCGCAAAGACTAATTTATGGGATCTTCGCACAAAATCCATCCTTTTGACCGGCTACCTGGAATTTCTTCTCAGCAAACTAATTGGCGGTGCTGGTTACGAAATGTTAACCCCGAGAGACACACGCCAACGTGGTGCACAGATTTCAATCAAGTTGACGGCCGAAGATAAAAATTTGACAGTAATAAAAAAATTAGCGGATCGTGGCTTTGTCGTTGACGGGAGAAAATCGGGGAATATAGTAATGGCACCGGTACCATTGTATAATACTTATATGGATGTTTGGAAATTAGCAAAGGCTTTAAAAGAAGTTCTGGCCGAAATTCAATGATGAATGTTCCATTTTAAATTTGGAAAGTTATTTATTTAAATAAAGTTTGTAAATATTATCGTAATTTATCGCTGAAACGGATTTATTATAAAGGAAAAGGTTATTTATTTCTCTGTTGGACTCTCGACCAAAGAAACCAGTGATGATTTATGCGGCAAATTCATCATTATAGTCACGTGTCTCGAAATATATCATTTGTCATCACATTAGAATATAGAACACATGTATTAAATTCCGGGACTGGTATAATATATTAATATATTATATATTGTATTTATAGAGTATTTTTTCTTCTTTTTTCTCACAAACCAAGTATTTTTTCTTTTGCAAATACCTGAGAGTAGTAGTTTTTATTCTTTAGCAGTAATTACTTTTTAGTAATGGATGAAGCACTTCAAAAACCCAGAAATGTTACCCACACATTATACAAGTTGTATAGTTGGCTTGAAATGGGAACCATTGATCTTACACCAGAATTTCAAAGAGGTTTGTTATTTTGTATTTGGTAAATGGGAATTGCTAAATTTAAAAAAAAATAATGATGGAAAAAAATGGATTTATTATACTTTTATGTTAATATTTCTTATATATTTTTTGTTTATTTTTATAATAGATGTTGTTTGGACAGGTATGTTTTATTTAATAATACAATTTACTTATAAAAATATACATATTTTATTTATTAACTAATTATTTTCTTTTTTTTCAAAATAAATAATTTGTATAGATGCCAAGCAAAGTCATTTAATTGATTCAGTTTTGAAAAATTTTTATATTCCACCCATTATTTTTTCTTGCAAGAAACTTGATGACAAGCGCTTCATGCGAGTGTGTATTGATGGAAAGCAAAGGCTTACATCTATTAAAAGGTATGAAGAAATATAATTGTATATTTTAAAAACCAATTATTTTAATTATAAATCAATTGGAATTTTATTGATTTCTTTCTTATTTATTTTTAGATTTATTGATAATGAGATTCCTCATGTGAATCCATCTGACAAATCTAAAGAAAAAAGTTATTACTCCAAATCCAAAAGTGGAAAATCTAGAAATCTTTCACAGTTAGAAAGAGAAATGTTTGATTGCTCTGAATTTGTTTGTGGTATGTCCCAATTTTTTTTTGTTTCAATCAAAATTAGATTTTTTTAAATAATTTTAGTAAATTTTTATGTAGTTGAATATTATAGTTTAACTTTGAATCAAGAGCAAGAAATATTTAGTCGCGTTCAGCTTGGAATGCCCCTTACTCCGGCTGGTTTGTATTCTTCAGCATCATAATTTCTATTTTTATCATAAAAGATCTATTCCTAAATAATTTTTATTTTATAATAGAGAAATTACAGGCGATTTCTAGCCCAGTGTCCGAGTACGCACATGAGATTTTCTCCACTTATCCTTCCTTAGCTACTATTATCGATGCACGTCGTGGTCGTGCTTTCCAACTAATCACTCAGTCATTGCATATGATCGAAACCGAGCCCCCAAACTTTCGATCAACTCCAACCATTATTGCTAACTACCTAAAACTAGATCGAAATGTACCACGCGAGTTGCACGACACCACACAACACGTATTCAAGACGCTCGATTCGTTAATCAAAGCCGATGAAGAACTCATCAATCGGTCTCATCGATTAGCACCAATCGAGTTCGTCTTCGTCTGTTATATGATCGCAAAGCATCCCGATTTGTCTATCGAGCAATATCAACATTATGTCGTATCGATGAAGCAGTATGTACGTCAAAGATATGCCGATATTCGTTTCAATTCTCGCGTTTATGACACGTTGATGGGTTTTCTCAGGAAGATGTCTGCCGAAATTGATAATCCGAGGACTTCGTCTGCTTATGGTTCAGCATCACGTCAATCAAGGAATAGCGAAGTTAAGAGGATTAAGCGCGAACTTGAAGAATAAAATCTTCGATTCGCTGGATTTTTGGTGGATATGTGAGGGGTACGACCAATCATTTGGATATTTAAGAAAACAGCATGGTAAATGCTTGAATTAAATTAAGTTGATTTTTTCTTTATGCTTGAATTAAATTAAGTTTACTTTTTCTTTATATCAGTGCAAATAATTCATTTTTGAGAGAAATCGCAAAATAGCATGAAATATGTTAGGTTTTTTCTATGTTTTTACCTTATACACTATACATCAAATTCAGTTATCCAATATTTATATATATCCCTATAAAAATGTATCCCCCTCTTCTTTTTTTTTTATTTGTAACATGTTAATTTTTAAAATTAGCAATTCATAAATGTATCAAATAAAAGTAATTAAACAAACGCGAATGGTTCTTTTTATCTGGATCCATTTAGTGGTATAAAAACAGTCAAGTCATGAAAACGACTAAAATGATAGAACGTCGTCAACAAAATCGTCGAATTTGCAAAGTTTAATTATTTGTTCGGTTTTGTAAGATATATTTTTGTGATTGAAACTTGATTGTATTCATTCAGTTTTATTATTTTAGTTAAATGTTCAAACTCAGAAAATTCTTTGATTATAAGATAATTTTGAAAAAACAAAATTACAATCAAATTCCTTTATATTTATAGTTATATCTTTTTTTAATCATTTAATTTGACTTTTTTGTTATTAAATACTAATTAAAATAATCATATATTTTATAGTAATCCAATTTGATAATTGTATTTTTAATACTAATTCTATTATTATAATTAAAAATTCAAATAAAATTTTATTAGTAATCATAATTTTGATTTTAGTATTACTAATAAAAATAATATATTAAAGTTAAATTTTCTAGAATTAATTTTAGTATTATAATTGTATTTCAAATATAATAATATCAAAATAAAAAATATAGTAGCAATCGAAATAATGCAACGCAAAAAAATTATTAATAAGACATAGTAAAATATGAAAAAATGCGGGTTTTCTCTTTATATTAAAGTTTTCAATTTTACTAATATTTTTTATTTTTACATTAAAATGAAGATAATATTACATATTTTAACGTATATTTTTTTTTAGATTTAATCTGACAAAGTTGTTCTAATTGCATATAATAATTTTTTTATTTATATGTAATATTATCTTCATTTTAATGTAAAAATAAAAAATATTTATTAGTAAAATTGAAAACTTTTATATAAAGAGAAAAACCCGCATTTTTTCATATTTTTACTATGTCTTATTAATAAATTTTTTTTACATTGCATTATTTTCGATTGCCGCTGTAAGAATCCATATATCAACTTACTTTGTAATTAGAAAACTTTCTCGAATTAAATCTAAAAAATCTGAAAAAATATGTTAAAATATGACTTATTATTTTTTTGATTGCCATATATTAATAATTAGTAAAAAAATAAGATATTTAAAGTTAGATTTTATATCTTAATATATATACTATCGCTATGCTTTCCATTTACTAAGAATATATTTTTATCATAGTGCTATAAACCTCTTCACCTTTTTGTACTTGGTATAGACGGATGAGTGGAATTTACGTCAACATAGAAAAAATAATCACTCTTAGGTCGGCCAAAAATAGAAAATGGACGATCAAAATTTTGGCCAGCACTGTTAAAGATCAACAATTTACTCGTCGCGTATTTTTAGTCACGTGAAAACACGCAAACTGTTTATAAGAAATTGCGCGCTAACCGATTCACCCTTAATTTTTTTGTTTTATTTATTTAATTTAAACATAAAAAACTCATTCTCAGGTTTCTGAATTCGGAGGTATGTATTGCTGAACGAAAGGATACATTGTCTCGTCCCACATTAAAGCATAGAGTTACATCAGGAATTCTTTCCTTCATATATTCGGGCGTTTAAATCAAAGATTTTGAATAAAAATTCTTATCAGAATACAACAATAACAATAGTAATATGCAAGAAAACACTATACTTTTATTCATAAGAACACAATTGGAACCAAGAGGCATATACCTACGAGAAGACTGGCTAACAGACACCATCCAAAAAATAAGACAAGAACAACTCGACCTGTTTGTTGATTTTGAAAATAATCAACAAAACCAAGAAGACCTTCTCAAATGGGTGTACTTTCACTTTCTAAAATCGCATTTACGAAACTCGTCAACTCCACGACTACCACTAGACATTAAAGCTATTTCCAGTAAATGGATAGCGAATGATAGTCATCAAGGATTCGTGTTGGAAATTGAAGAGTGTTTGGAAGTGGGCACGGCCGCGCATAGATTATATAATATTAAACAACAGACGGACGAGGGGTATTATAGTCAGGGACACAAGTATGTTGAGATAAAGAGAGATGAGGATGATGGGAGTGTTCCGGTGATTTCTTTCCCGAGGGCTATTCTGAAAATAACATTGACTGATGGGTACCAAGCTGTTACCGCGATGGAAATGCGGTTAATGCAGACTGAACAGGGTGGAAAGTTTGTATCATTGAGTATGAATACGCCAAGGGGCACAAAGGTAATTAAATAATAAATATATTTCGATTTTTTTATGCTGTCATAAGTAATTATTTATTGTTATGATGATTGTTGATAGATAATGGTTCATAATGTCAAAGTGATTAAAGGTATCTTATTGCTTGACTCAACTAATATAAAATTTATTGGTGGAGTTGGTGACGAACCTAAACCACTTGAAGAGTTGGAAGAAATGTTATGTAAAAGATTAGGGTATGTGAGATATTTTAATTTCATTAGCTATTTCCCTCTGTTATTTCGCATCAAATAATCATCAAGCGGATTTTTTCATAAGGAGACAAGCGGCACCACTTGATCAAAGTAATATAAACACCGCTACTACTAGTCCCACCACAGAAATCGAAACTGGAGAACCCACCACAGGAATCGAAACCGGAGAACTCACTACAAGAATCGAAACTAGAGCACCCACTACAGAAATCGAAACTGGAGGAAGTAATCCGACAACGACGACACCTTCTTACTTGAGTGCTACCACATCATTCACAAGACCGAACACTTCTTTTGTCAATCCAACATCATCATCTAGTACTGCGAAGAAAAGGCCAATAGGTGAAGTGAGTTTTAGCAGCCCTGAGAATTCTCCTCCCAGAAACTCAATAATAAACAATTCAATTGCAAGACCGAACAATGTGATTCCGCTAGTAAATAGTGTAAATAAAAAAACAGCAGCAGCAGAACATTTTTATGAAAATCCTATAGGCAGCAGTAGTAATACACCATTTGCAAGACAGGACAATCCTTTTGTTGTAAATTATATTAACAATAACAATAATAATCCAAATGATAACACGTACACCGAGTATGCGGATGAATGGGACTTTGGTTTTGATGACGATAACGAACAGAAGAATAAGGAATCAAATAATGATGATAATAATTATATTGATTTCCTTGAGAAAAATCCTAAATCTACATCACTATTCAATACTCTTCCAGTGATAGACAAAAAACTGCTACTACCATCATCATCAGTATCATCCGAGGCTCCAATTGAAGTTGTTGACCCATTCAAGCACATCATCGAAGTTGCTGATAACTTGCCAGAGCTTTCGTCTGCTTCATCGTCATCAGTAGTTAAACAAAACGAATATCCACCCCTTATACAAACTCCAACGCCTAAAAAGGTTTCAAAACAAAAGGAACACGTTCTAATCTATTCATCTTCATCTTCATCTTCGTCGTCGTCGTCGTCGTCTAAGGATATTAGTAATCCTTCTGGAGATCAAAGCGAGAGCGCGTTTTCAAGTGCGAAAAAAGAACTTATGGTTAAAAGTGTGTTTGAAGATGATGATGATGACGATTCGTTGCCGGATCCAGGTACATTTGTATAATTTTACTTTGAATTTGTATTATTCAGTTGCTGACCATTAACTAACTATTTTATATAGAAACTTTGTTATACAGTAGGGGCATTATGTCATAGAAAAAAAGCTAGTTATGATATGAATACGAGCTGCGCTAAACTGTTCGAATTCCTAATGTCAAATGTCTAAATAGAAGATGCAAGCAATAGCCATTTTGAGAATATTTTCGGCCAAATGCTAACACTATTTTAATGTAAGTTAAGTGTTGAAACTTCAAAAATGAAGATTACGATTTTTCGGCACAGAATACATAGAAAAGAATATAACAGTCGAATTTGTAGTTAATAAAGCTGAACGGAATTTATTATAATACAATTTATGATCATGTTATCGTTCGAATTTTTTTATACGATGATTTAATTAATGTAAAAAACGGTTTAAACAATGTTTTCAGTGTTTTTCATTCCTTAAGAATTTTCTATGTAACGTATTTTGTGAACTAAATATCATTCAAATCAAATGAATTAAAGCTTCAGAGAATGGGAAGTGGAATTACTATATCAAATCTAACTTGCAAAAATGGTTTAATCAATTCGAGGGAGAATGAACCGAAATTCCATGCGATTTGAATAAAATGGTATTAGGAGTTTTCGATAATATGCCTAACTGAAACTTTTCAGGCGTGTGTATTTAATTTAAAGAAAATCGTTCCAAATTTCTTCAACAGGTAGCGGTAGAGTTTCTTAATCCCATTAAGTGGATATGAATTTTTATACGGAGTGTTTTTGGTTCCATATAAAGATCCAGTGGCAAGTGTTGACTTAACTAAAAAAATGAAAACTTATACCTGTTCAAATACAATTAACAGAGCAGCAAAATGACTTGGGAAGAGTGCAAGAGCTTTAAATAAAAGAACAGGTATGTGTGGTTTTGGATACACCCATTCTTTTTTTTCATCTATTGTTCTTTCTTATGCTTGCATAAAGAGAAAATGAAAAACATGCATGGTCAAAAAAATTCCTATTAAATCTCCACAGGTATTCGTCAAACAGTGGTCGCAAAAGACGCAGAAATTGCCGAATTGAAATAATCACTCAAGGTGCTAAAAGGAAAAAAAAATAATACCACTTTGATTTTTGAACCTTTAAGATACTGCACACTTATTTTAACCGGCGGACACGAACACTAAAGACAAACAGCACAAATCATCTATACCGATACATTCAGAGAACGATTAACGTGAAATCGATTTTTCGAGAGCAGTTTTTGAATCGTTAAAAATCATGTGAAGTCGAGAATTTTATATATCGATATTTAATAAATACATCAACTATTTAAAGTATACTAATGACAAAATATCTAAAGAATCAAGTTGGAATTTCAAATCCTTTCTTTAATTAATTTATCAAAGAACATAGCACGAAGTGAGACACGTATTGATAAAAGACAATACAATGCACTGTCATTTCCCCGTGATACTATAACACTTTTTTACTCTCGATTTGGATCTGAAAAATATCGGTAATTCTATCAAGAGAAATTTAAACTTCGTTAAATTGAATCGTGATGCTTTTTCTTATTGTTGAGAAAAAAAAAGATAAATACTAAATTGCGAGAATATTAATTTAATATTGGGATATCACATAAGTTTAAAGCTTTATGAATTGAAAAATTCAAATTTAATCGGTAATGGCCAATACCGTAAAATCACATAGTCGTTAAATCACAGTTTTTTCTCGGTGAAAACTATGACAATTATTTTTCAATAATTAAACAAGCCATATAGTGGGTATACGTTGTTTAGCATTATTGGATTTATAGATGTTTCACGTGTTTAATAGCGTATTTCATTAAGAATAACGAGCGAAAGTGTACTTACTTTTATTCAAATAATGATGCTTTTACAAAAATGCCATCAATATATTCTAATCCTATTTATCCTGATACCCTTTTTCCTACAATTCTTTTTATATATAAATTTCCCCTTATTCCAGTTTCTGGCGTGGCCATGTTTTACAAAAATGTAGGAATGCTTACGTTAACGTGAAAATCGCTAATTAACAGATGAATCAGGTTACTTTTCTCCAAACTATTTTGGCCGAACTAGTTTTCTTAAACTATTGTATAAATAAGCAAATCTCATTAAACTATTTATTCTATTAATAAAGGAATCTCAATTACGACTAGCTAACAAAACAGCAAACTCTTGAAGTGAAGAGCTACAGAGGTATATCTCAAAGCTAATCGTGTGTATTATAAAATAAAAGAATCTAAGTGAACGTAATAAAAGGGTTATTGTACTCGTGTCTAATCAACTTTCAGCTGTTACTTTCAACTTGTCTATACATAATAGTACTATACACTAAACTACTACTCAATGAAGTCGTCCAATTAGCGAAACCGTTCCTAAATTGATAAAGTTAAGAATATTCACTTTCGATACGAATAAATTTTTACTTTAAAAGTTTATTAGTCTACACATAGTAACAGTACATGTATGAGCACTATATTCATGACACTATATACTATATTATGAACTAATTAATACAATTATCTCTATCTTCCAGTACCACCCTCCCACCTAATCTTATTAGCTAAGCTGCTTTGATTTCGAGTTAGAGTTACATTATGAATTTTGAGTTGCTTACTGAGCTGCTTGGTTTACCAGCTGAGCTACTTTGATTTCGAGTTGAGTAGTAACGTGACGCACGATGCATTTCTGCATTTGAATTTGCTGTTTCACTTGCGTTAGCACCTTGGTATGATTAATGTCCAATTTTCATTGAGTTTGATGATTTGCCATGTCAAGTTGATTTGCGTTAGTGCCTGAGTATGATTAGTTGCAAGTCATTTTTCATGATACCACCTCGATCAAATGTTACAAGAGAGATCATTCTTCTCTACATTTGAAAGCTGGTTGTGATTGAACAAAGGAGACCCCATCCTCTCTTAACACTTGTTCATCTAGTAGTGAATCTTATGTATCACGAAGGGATTCACATCAGCCTTTGCTCACCCAAAAAGCTGATGAGGATTTCTTAAAATGCATCATGCGAATGTTTGTGTGACGAATGAGCTGAATGAGTTATTTGTGTGACGAACGAGTAGGTGTGGCAAATGATTATTCGTATTGGCATTTTAGCGCCTCCTTACAAGGGGGATCGCTAAAGCAAGGCAAGCCATTTAGCCATATACCAGCCACATTTGATCACCATAACGTGACTTATCACGTAAAATTTTGATCTAAAAACTTGATTGG